TTGGCAATTTATATTAGTTTGCTTCTACTGTTTATGTTATATGCGAACGAAGTATAAACGATTGGTAACTGCTAGGGGTTATTGATATTCGTGTTCTCGATAGAAACAGGATTTGTTAGGCATGAAGTTACTATACAGACAACCAGTGAGCACTCAGAGTTGACTCAAGCTTGGTTGTGCTGGTTAACGCATCATTGAGGTAGCACAGGGACAATGTCCTATAAGTCGGTGTTCTAACTGGAGATTTTGTTACGTTATAGTTGACGGGTCATAGGATATAACAGTTTAGGGATCGATGAATTTCTTAGGGTTACTCATGATCCTTTTTATTCAGAGTACCATTCTGATTTTCAACATATTGAAGATCAATCGTTTTTCAAAGTGAATCTGCATAGCTGACAATTAGGAACTCATAATATTATTGAGAACTTCAGTTGAACGTTGACTTAGATATATTCAGTCGTACTGTAAATTATTTTCAGTATCTTATTCTCGCACGACGACCATCCTGTGTTATTTTTGAACTGGTGATATAAACATATCATATGATCACCATAGAGTGTATAGACCATGCAAAAGTGTATCAACTTACATTGCTCCTCACAGCTTTGTGCTGTGCAGTATGTATTGCATAAACAGATGTTATTTTTGCAATGACCACTAGGGGAACTAAAACCACACAGCTCACAGATATCAACATCCATTAAATTAAAATGCTCACTGATCTGACACATAAAGTCAGAATGTAAAACCATGGGTTTTAGGCTGACCATCTATCTGTCTTATTACTGTCACCATTGAACAAATTGGTGTAAACGAAGAACACTGAGTGACGATTTACTGAATAGTATATAGGTAGGACAACTTCACACTATGGGTAAACATGAATGCTTCTAATCAAGCATTGACAGATTTTAATCGCAGATGCAAAAACTATATGATTAGTGTGGCAGAAGATGTCAAAGCGAATTGTCACAGGACGTCGACTAGTTGACATTTATGAACAAAAGTTTGAGAAATTGAATACCGTTATAAATTAGGAAAATGTCAAGAATGAATGAAGAAGTTTCTAACTGGTGCTGCTATTCTGAAGAACATGAATGTACTAACTTCCTGTTTCTTAATGAGTACTCCATTCGGTTCGTTACATCATAATTTATTTGTACATGAGCTGATATGTTAGTTGGGAATTTTGTCGTCATCTATTTTGTAACATTTTCTTACTGGGTAAATTCACATAAATTTGTCTAAATATTTTTACAAATACAATGCTAAACATAGCTTGATCTTTATAATCGGTTTCCAGTTTTCTACACCTATTTCACAGAATTGTGGTCATCAATGATCCCATGGTATTAGGAATACGTGTTGATCTTGAAATTGGTGTTACGTTAACTTTAGTAAAAATAATCAACTGATATTTAGTTTTTCAGGAACTGTAATCGCGAACTGGGATTAAGGCACATTCTACACATTTCTACTTAGATATAAGACTAATTTTAGTGTGAAGAAGAATGAATGATGATACGAAACTAGTGAACTGTTACAAAAATTGAAGCATGATATATTCATTAACACAAACTGAGCAACAATGCAAACCGTTGTTTCATTACTTGATGTTTTCAATGAGACATGTGAAAGCAACACCCGGTAACTGGAAAACAATTCGCTTAGTTGGACTACAGTGGTGCATCTGAGAAACTCAAACTTCGAATAAAACAGTGAGAACTGCTTGACAGTAATTAATTCAATAAATAAATACATTTTTCAGTTGAATTATTAAAACCGAACAACAGTTCTAACCACACTATTATAAAGGGTGCTCTCAACATGGTGGTGCATCACCTTAATTCTTGTTCCGTTTTGTAGTTATTTATTACAAACAATTCCATTGTGTGACCCTGTGAACTAATTCACTTTAATTACTATGTCATAGTAACGTATTCAACATAATCAAAATAATAGTCAAACATTCTTTATTCCCTGAAACACACCAGATATACAATAGAAAATGCCTAAATTTTGGTGGCTTATGTACTCTACTCATTCAATTTGTTGTCCTTAAATTACATGAATGCTAAATAATAACAATGCTTTATTACAATATTACAGATATGAATTGTTTCGGTGAAGAGCAATAGTTGGGTTAAATAAAACAAGATATCAACGACCTTTTATGGAATTTCATTTTGTATTGTCCACTTATCAAGTCAACGTAAAACATTGTTATTTTTCAATCACCTGGTTACCAAATTGTTTGTTTTTATTTTGCTTGAGGACAACTGAGCAAGTAGTACACTTTATCACAGTTTAGTCTCAATTTCACCTCATACTTTCAATTCACTATCGCCCAAATTATTAAAGACTTGTTATCATCATTATGTTTTTGGTCAGTATAGAATTATGTAGGAATAATTGTTGCTATTGGAGTGTTTAAGTTTTTCTTTAAAAAAATATTCATTTATATGACAAATATGTGAATGGTCAACCGGTTTCGTTTGTTCTTTGGGATTACAATAAATAGGTGAAACTATCTGGAATGCAGTAAGTGTATTTTGATTGGCCGAAACGATTACATATTTGGCAACGACTTCAATAAATTCAGCTTTACTTGGAATTAATTTAGCTACTGACTGAAATTAGTAAAATCATTCAGAAATACATTAAACGAAGTTGAACTCAATAGTTCTATTATCGTCTTCGTCTTACTTATATTTTCACATTCATAAATAATGATCCTCTATCAAAGAATTCCAACAAATTTGATCATTATACTGATTCATACTGTTTGTAAGTTAATGAATGATTGTTTAAGTATAAACTAATATATTCCATTTAGTAGCACATGGATCATTTGAACAATCCACTAAATTGTGTAAGAATAATTCATCGTAAGTCTGATGAAAGAATATTAATAGTTTATGATCATAGTCGTGATGGTAATAAATATTTACATTTTTCTCTTTAAATGTTTCTTTGATTGATGAGTGGTTCATTAATAAACAGGAGTGAGAAGATAAGTGACAAAAGGTGTTCCGTCGTTATCAGTCTTGTACCATTACTTTCTTGGTAATATTTTTCATTTGTAGTCGTCTGTTTACACTGACTAGTTACCGAATAATCGCTAATATCATGTTTGTTTAGTTTTTAGTGGTGACCTAAATCTATGGTTTAAGTAGTTGCTAACATGCCCCAAATAGCACACAACCATTGCATTTCCTACCGACTATCTTCAATCACCTAACAACTTTCTGTGTTATATAGATACATAAATAACACAAAATGTGGTACAATTGTTTGTATTGAGCAGTGGCAAGACATTTGTTTCACTTGTGGTTTACAGTATAGACATCAGTTATTAATTATGTATGTCTAGAATTCGCAACTAATAATCCAATTCAGGAATGTGACTCAAAAGATAGAGGAAGCGATCAACTATAATTACAGTCAAATTGAACTATGTTACGAACAAGTAGTAGAGCAATATTTTTAATTTTCTGTATGAATACTACATCTCAAAAACGTTTGTTCTATCATTCAATAAACGTGAAGTAAATTGCATTTTACTATTGTGTAAACCAAATATAATCATATTATCCGTCGACTTATATCAGTAACTGAGCCTAAAGACAGGCAATTAATTGATAACAAATCAAACGAGGGAAGTGTCACCTTCAGAAGCTAATACACAGAAAGTCCATAGAAAAGATGAGAGTAATCAGAACTGCTAAACACTCACTGAATTAATTAGTTTAAATGACAGTTATAAACTTATTAAGAGTAATGGCCTGAGAACCTTTCGGTTGAATGACATAATTATTAATATAACGTTCAATGACAGATAGTGCTGAAGACAAAGTTTCTCAAAATAGTGTATCCATAGTTTCAGGTGCTTGATTTTGAAGTTTAACAAGCCAGCTTCTTTTTCCGAAATAGTTTCATTGACTGTTGATTTTAATACACTCAATATTTTTGGCACGTGCGAAAACTGTCGAGTAATATCCGAAATGTAATTTAAAACATTTGGACTGTCTAAAATAAAGGTGAGACTAAGTTTATCTTTAGTCAGCCATTAATGGTAATGCGTTATCTTGATACAAGGACATTTGCTGACACTTCTGTTTATCTGGAATATCACATCAATAGCGTATAAGAATGGTAGTTAAGAGTAAGCTGAGCACACATTTCAGGAAATGTAGGCTGATTTTATACACGTCAGTTTCACACAATAAAACTAAAGTTAATAAAAACACACATAACAAATTTCAATTATCCACAAATTGTAAATTATTTGTGTGTACAAGACTTCAATACACAATCATTTTGTTTAGGAGCTGTGTTAATGGTCACTGCATTAATGGAACGTGTGTATGTATTTCATGTTGGATGGGGAAAACCTGTGAAAAACGAGGTGAGTCAGTTATTTAACTAGTCAATTTCGGTAATAACAAGACTATGTTTTGTTGGGTTTTATCTATATTTGGTTACATTCTATGATTCCCTTATCAAAATGATGCTAAATACTTCTATTTCAAGCTCCTAAGATGTACCGTGGTGTATTCTCCTTATATCTGTCAACATAAGTAGTATATACGCCAATCAGAAGTTGGATGCCTGTCAAAAGAAGCTTGAGAAGATAGAATTCGAGAAAATAGATATGGAAGCATAAACGGATTGATAAATGTGAGTGATATGTCTCGTCGGTTGAACGCTATATTCGTTTCCTAAGCTTTTCTGGTAACCCACAGGCTAGAACTACTCAGCGACTTGAACACCAGAGAGAAGACACAAGTATGAGAGAAACACTTTACTCCAAGGTTCATTTTTGTACAAAAAAATCATGGGTATTTATAGATGTTAGCGTCTGTTAAATCAACATCATATTTCAGCCAATCCGTTAACGACATGTGCTACCGACCAATAGTAGCACGCCACGTTGGAATTCCAGAATGTTCTTCATTAACTACATCATTTATGTAAGAAATAAACATTACACTCAATGGATAATAACTCACATTTCTTGGTAAGATCGTAGTCAAATTTACTTTGCATCTTGTTATAAGAACTGTTTGAAAATCATCAGTGCTTTTGATTTCGTTATCTAAGAGCGAAATTCCTTCATAAATTGAATCATCTATTTGCAAAAAGTTCGATCGATTCTAGTGTGAATTGGTTACAGTTGAAGAAATATAAATCATTCCATGCTTAATAATTCATTTCTAGTTTATGTTGTGAAATATCAACTTTGTAGAAATTATATGCTTATCATTTTAGTACATAGAATTCCAAAATTCACTCAGACAGTATTCACCTTTGAAACCAAGTTTTCTAACTGGATCAATGGAAATCTGATTGGCAGGCTTTCTCTGAGTGATGAAAACTCCTCCTTAGCATCATGTGGAAGTGTTCAATTTAACATTGTACCTGGTTCAAACTACTTACCGGTAGCTATCGATGGAACAACTGGTACTTTGAAAGTAATTGACAGTGTTTATGGAACAATCAAGAATAATCATAACATAACTTTTCAAGTGACAGTTAGGAATGCAAATACTTCCTTGAATATATTTGATGATGCAACGGTTAACATTCTAATTGATGGAAAGTATTCAGAGGAAGAAACAGAAAGTGAGATCACTGCAGTCAAGAGGGTATGATTTCTGTTCATTGTAGTGTTTTTAAAAAAATGAAACTGCGATTTCTGTCATCCATCTCACATTTGGTAAGCTGTCACTGAAAGAGATTCATGATTTGTCTCATTTGACACTGTACTAACGTGTTTCTTTCAAACAACTATACTAATGTGACCAGCAACAACAAAAACAGAATATCAACACGATTAGTGGTATATGATCACTGAAGGCTACCTCCAAAACAGATGAAGATCAAATTTTCATAAAACTCTAAGAATAATCATTTTTGTCAAAAATGTTAACTTCAAAATATGAACACTATTTAAGATAATATTAGTAGTAATAATTGTACGTAGGCATAATTTTCTTTGAATTCGCATGTGTTACACATTCACTTATCCTACAGAACAATATCGTGTTTAAAATAGCATCACATATTCATAATGAATTCGATGGTTCCAATGTTAATGAAATTGGATAGTGTTTTCATTATGACGTTGTTATTCGATTCAGTAAATGTGCACAGTAAAATATAGAACCATGATGTATACCATCCAAATTAATTATGATTTCATGGGTTTTGATGATTATTATCAGATTTTCCTCTTTATAGGGCTTCATTATTCCACCGAATACTACCCGTGTCACATTTTCTAGAGTATACATCCAAGATAATCCAAATTATTGTCTCTTTGATACATGGTTTATTGATTCCGTAATTGTCCTCCCACCTGGAAATCACAGTTTGATCATGAATTTTTCTGGTCCGTCTTTAAATAGTGTCTATTATGGATATATACAATATTTGTTCGCCTACTACAATGGGACAAACATAGCAAATAATTATTCTGTGAAGTTTAATAATCTCACATACTTGAACAATAATTCCTCGGTAAGGATATGAACATAAATAAGCTTTGATGTATTCAATATTTTTAGTTAATTATTGTTAATATATACATGATGAAGGAAGTAGATTTTTACACAGCAATGTGGAATTGTTAACGCTCCTTTATTTAGCTTGACTAAGGGCAGTTGGAGCATTTTACGAAATTTTATTTTCATTTATGATGAAGTCGTATCATGTTTATAATAAAATTTGTCAAATTTATTCTTTCATACTTCACTCTTGACGTTCAAACTCAATAGTGAATATCTTTCTTTTATTATTCTTAATGGTGAAAATTATGAATTCATTGGATTTTGTTTAAATTACATTGGATTGTCTTAGACAAGAAGATGAGCTAGTCATTAGTTACTATGGAAAGTATACCGATATGTGCAAGGAATTATTCCATGTTTCAATGAAGAATGAGAGTTCTGTTTCATATTAAATTTTCAATATACCTGCTGATGCTGAATATGTATTCGAGAGAAAAAGGTTTTTAAATAGTTAAAACCAACTTTTAAATACCCACAGTGAGATTATTAAGATTCAGTTACTTACTTACTTACTTACGCTTGTTACCCCCAACAGCTGTTTCTATTTCTAGACGTAATGTGTTCTTTGGTCTCCCTCCCCTCCTTTGGCCTTGAGGATTCCAGGTAAGGACTTGCCATGTGACGCAGTTGAGTGCTTTCTTCAACGTGTGTCCTATCCACTTCCAGCGCTTCTTCCTGATTTGTTGGTTGACAGGTTTTTTGATTTCCGGACGCTCTTCAATTGTAGATATGCTGCTCTTGTTCTGCCGATCCACGTCTTCACATCTGTATCAGATCCGCCGTGCTCGCCAATGATGCTTTCCAGATATGTAAAGAGTTTTGCTTCCTCTAAAGCTTCTCCGTCAAGTGTGATTCGATTGGTGCATGTTGTATTGTGTCGGAGAATCTTGCTTTTTGTTGTTGCGTGTGTCATAGAAGAGCCGTAACATCTGCGAAGTATGGATCGTCCATCTGCATCATAGCTGTCCATTGTATCCCATGCTTCCACGCTATCAAATGCTTTCCCATAGTCAGTGAAGTTGATGTAGAGTGATGAATTTCATTCAATTGGTTGTTCCACAATGATCCGTAGTGTTGCGATTTGGTCCGTACACGATCGATCATTACGGAATCCAGCCTGTTGATCTCGAAGTTGGGTGTCTACGGAGTCCCTCATTCTGTTTAACAACACCCTGTTGAAGACTTTTCCTGGTATTGAGAGAAGAGTGATGCATCAACTTTCAGTGCCTTTGCTGAAATGTTGTCTGGTCCCGCTGCTGTGCCGCTCTTGATTTATTTGATGGTCATGCTGATCTCGTCAACTGTTGGTGGGCAAATATCGATTTCGAGGTCTCGGGAATGCTGCTTCGATGTTAGGTGGATTCAATGGGGCTGGTCGATTCAGTAGTTCCTTGATGTTTTATACCCACCCGTTGCGCTGTTCTTCAATGTTGGTGATTACTTAACCTTCCTTGCTTTTCACTGGTGTTTCTTGTTTACGATAATTTCCAGCGAGTTTCTTTGTTGTATCACACAACTGTTTCATTATTCTTTCTCTTGAGGCTTCTTCTGCCGTCATTGATAGATCTTCCACATATTTACGTTTGTCAGCTCTGATGCTCCTCTTCACTTGCTTGTTTGCTTGTCTGTATTCAGCTCGTGCCATGGCTTTGTCTGTTCTTGTTCGGTTGATATTAATTGCTACCTTCTTGTTCCATCCATTCTTTGTGCTTCTTGTGCTTCTTGTGGTCCAGAACCTCCTGACATGTTGAAGTGATTGCCTCCTTGATCCCTTTCCAGTTGTTCTCCATGCTAGTTCCCTCTCCATTGAGTAGATCGTGAAAGGCCTGAAACCTGTTGCTGAGAGCTATCTTGAATTCGTTGGATCTGTTAGTAACTTGAAGAAAGGCCTTATTAAACTTTTGTGATGTTTCCCACCCAGTTGTCCTGTGCTTCTTAAGTTTTAATTTCATCTTGGTGACCAGCGAGTGATGATCTGAGGCTATATCAGGTTTGCAAATATTCGATAAAAGATGTCACATCAAATAACTCAACATTGCTTAAAATCCGTTCTGTGAATGGATCTTAATTGGTTTGAAAATGTTCTAGTATAGCTTGGTAAGTTGATATTAACTTATATCACTGGTGATGAATTAAAGATATAAAAATAGGGAATTTTCTGAGAACTCTAGCCTTTAATCCATTCTTGTTAATTGTTTTCCGTAGCCTTCGGAGTTCACAATGACAAGTCAGATATGTGTTTCATCCTCTCCTGCCAATGATTCAAATGATTTCAGTATTATGATGCGATTCAAAGTCGGTCTTTTTTCTGAAGTGTCGATCCCGCCTATTGGTACCAATTTAACAATCAAAATGGAAGCATTGTTGTCTCCAAAGATTACCGCAGATATTTTCATGATAGTGTCCTCAAACTGTCCGATTCAATATGATTCAGTTAATTTTACCAAGTGCCCACAGCAAGTGGAAATAGGTGGGATTTATGAATATTCTGTAAACTACTTTATAAGTAGACCGATTGGTGACTACGTGGTGAGTGATAAGTATGGTACTTGAACAATATACAGTTTTATGGAAAGAAGTTGTTAAGTAATAAGACTTCTAACTTAATTGTTGCATACTATGATGTGCCTCATTGCGAAAAATACATTTGTACATCACCAACAGAAAATATATGAAGCTTTATGTCACAAGACATTTCAACAACTATTACTGTGTTTTGAGGATGAAAAGGATGTTTGTCGTTCCGAGACAAGGAATGAAATAAATTTATTTATCGATCACCTAGACTTGCTTGTATCTACCTAACCATATCAAAACCTCTCTCTTACAAAATTGGCCATTGCTGGCAGTCTGTGTCCCACTTAAATCTACCACTTATTCGTTATCAGAATAATCCGGGTTTGAACTATCAGTAAAACAAAACTGTTCACGAAAGTCAGTAATCAAGACTGCTTGTTTCCTCCTCTCAGGTTTCGCTAACATGGTAAATTTCATTTGGTCATCAATAATACTCATGAGCCAATCTTCAGTACAGATTATACACATTCTTAGTTCGCACTTTCGAATAATGAATAATATTAATTAGTTTTCGTACCAACACCTGTAATCTAAAGGTGATGATAAACTCAAAAGCACTAGACGAGACTATTAAAACATACCGGGTTCTGATGAACACCTCAAAATTACAAACTAAATAGAAAACGTGTCACGTTTTGATGACAGCTACTCCAGAGAATGTCAACTAGAGTACTGATCGTTACGTAATGCTGAAAAATAGCAGAAAAGTGAAAGTTAGACGTTTGTGAAAATCCAATCTTATTCAGTTATTCTGTTTAAGATCTAATGATTCAGCTAACAGTGTAAATAAGTGAGCTAAATTACGTGAATTAAAGAGTATCTAAACTTAATCAAGATCACTTATCAAAGGTTATTCTACATTTGCTGAAGATCAACAACATTTAAGTATGTAATATTCAGCGTCTCTATCTTTACCACACTCAACAAATGCACTGAATGTCATCCAGTGTAATTCTTTAAATTTTGATAAATTCTGATATAATACTGGGATAAATTTCTAAACCTTTAAATAATTAGAAGAAATACAAGATTAATTGACCACTCATTGGAAAAAAAGAAGATCTGTTTAACAGAAGGACAGATGAATAAAATCAAATTCCATTGCGGTATATCGCACATCGTACAGCCATAAATCAAAATCATAGATTATATAACATTTAGAAACTTGGAGTAGGTTGATATTTTTCTCACTGTTACGCTATGTTCGAACATTTCGAAACTAATAATGCATGTATTCATTGATACTAATTGTGCTCTTATTTTTTTTCATAAACATATTCCACTATATGATCCACATGATGTGCAGATCAAAATGAGTTCAACTTACACGACGATATCTTTAAGCTCTCTATTTAATCATACGTCCTTATCTGGATCCGACCACTTTACATATTATACAATAAACTGTTTAAGGAAATGATCGGGTAAAAACGTTAGACGCCGATTTTTAGTGCTGGCTAGTCAAGCAGATGTGGTGTAGAAACGATAGATGATCATTATTTTCATAAACAACATGGTTTAATTAAAGCACCCAATAATTTTAAGTTATTTCGATCCTAAACGGCTGCTTAGATAGAATAGGAATTCACATAGTTTAAACTGGAACTCTAAAAATCCATTCTCACTGGCAGATATAGTGTCACTTAATGATGTCCAACCTGAGTTCCAGGATTCACTGAAGTAAAATGATTGCCATAATTCAGTAGTGAAAAGAAAAACAAACAGTCATCAACTAGCGGATAAATATACCACATCATTATTTCACAGACTACTAATTACTTTAACAAATAAAGTGTAACTAATTTCTAACAAAGCAATAAAATACGAACATGGTAATTTTTCAATAAGATAATGACAAGACTTCTACAACATCTGAGATTATCACAGTCGATAACAACGTTGTACTAACTTGTTCATACAAAATTAATAGAGTACATTTCAATATCAATCATAATGTTGTAGGACATTTAGTAGATACATTTGAACATAAACACTTCACTTTTGTATGTTCACACAATATAAAACTGAACGTATTCATTTCTTTAGAGCTACACACAGAAAAAACTTACTGTTGTTTCCTAATAAATTGTTTGATAGTTCACATTCACTACTGATGAATATAGTGCTTCGATTGGACATATATCTTTAACGCTACCTACAACATTCTCTACATACCCAGAAGGTTACAAAATAGATACTCAACAATTGGTTGGTAGCAACTTCGTACTGACTACCATTGGCTACGTCAGCGTTTCAAATCTACAAAATCCAGGTAAGTTCATCGTATAATTATTTCTGACGTTAAACACTGTGTTTTTTGTATAAACCATATACATTATTATTTGTATAATATATAAACTGTTTTGTTTAGTCTAGCTGTGTCCTGATGCTTCACAACTAATCACGATGATCGAAACATGGTACATTGTATTTTCGAAACATTACATATTTTCCTGTATGCATGTTTATGAAATTAAGTATGCACTTGTCGAAACAGTAACAGGCGCCTTTCCATTTTGCTGATACTTATTTACATATTTACCGAGTTTTCATATTTCATGTCATTAAGGTAATGGATGATCTGATTTTAAGTACTTATTCTACTACTTGCATTTCGGTATTATGCATTATAGATATCTTCCATTAATAATCATTTTGGGCTCACCTGAACATTTTCATAATTTTTTCCCAGTTTATATTTCTTCTATGAATCACTTTTTTTTACCGTCGGTGTGATGGCCTCGTCAAATTTATGTTACTAATCAATTTCTAACAACCATCTATATTTGGTGTCGAAATTTGTGCACAGACAAATCAGTGAATAAAACATTTTCAAGCTTTGATGATGAATTTGAATAAGCTCAGTGTCTATTCCACTGTCTTTCCCAGTCAAAAATAGAAAAGTGTTCGGCTGTTTTACTTCAGAAAGCCATTAAATATGACACTTGTAGTGTAGTGGTATGATAGTTTCTACGTACTAAAGATATTTATTACTGAACGGAATTGACAATAGATGTTGTGAACAGTAGAATATGTATAAAGATGGAGTGATTAAGAGAAATGAAGATGATGATAGGAACTGAATACATTCCGAAAAATCATTGATTTTAAGATATATTTTACTGGTAATCATCTTGTGAACAATGCATGATTTTGGAGTTGTAAGCAAATAAATAAAACGTTGACCGATAGATAAACATATTGCTACTTACGTCCTTATGTTAGCTGAATATGAGATCAGATTATTGACACGAATCTCCGAGTGAAGACAATACTAATGTCAAGAAGAACTTTCGCAAACTTAAGTGTTCACATATAGAAATATGGATCACAAAAATGAGCATGGGTAAAAGTCACTTCAAATATATGCTCCTGTATGATACGGACTTCACAGGCCTCTCAATGAAATCGAGACCTGATAATTGAGCTTAATACCTACATGCTATATCAGTTTACAAATGATGGATGAACGCTACTGACCTAAGGCTATCTGCTGGCAGTTTCTTACATATTTCACTATCAGATATATCTACTTTTGTGTGATTTTATTTAGATTCTCAATAATCCTGCTACTTGTAACACTACTTTATTTTGTAATACATTTGTCTGAAAACTACTAAACTTCTACTCCTTCGCTGTTTATCATGGATTCACTAAAGATTTATTCATACTGAGAGACTCCTGACTTCTAGTTTATAGCTAGCGTCTATTGTCATAATGAAATTAAAAAGAATAAAATAATATGGTTTGACCGGATTGTGTTCAATTATAGAATTTAACCACTATCAAATTGTTACTAACCTGTTTAGATCAACGAAGATACAGCTCAGTGGTCTATCGGTTAAGGGCTTCGGCTCGAAACTGGTAGGTCCTGGGTTCGAATCTCGCTCGCGAGAGCGGGTTCGTGGATGTGCATAACTGAGGAGTTCCATAATAGGACGAAACGGCCGTCCAATGCTTCCAGATTTTCGATGGTGGTCTAGCTTCAATTGACTCATGATTTCAACTGTGGAAATACTTTTCATTTTGTTGTTATATCTTAAACTTTGTACATCTTACTTATCATCAAGCTGTCCACTGAAATCAAATATCTTTTGTTCAACTTATTTCTTGAACAAAAATTAATTATTATGTTCATAGTATGCTTTGTTGAGGTTCCTATGAATGGCACTAGTATGTGTCGTTCAGGGTTATGATTACACTCAGCTCTGTAATATAGGAACAAAAGGATGACCTTCAAGTCTACAGAAAGTTAGCTCAGAAAATGGAAAGAGTAATGTGGAAAACTTCACTCAAAATGTACTTATGGTAATCGTTTCAGTGAGAGCATACTTTAGGGACAAGTCAATCAGAATTAAATTTCAAGTTTTAGAGCGAAATTCAAATACTATGTATGACGTGCGGTAAAAATACTTTTGTGTACTGTCCAAAACATTCACAATGGTTACAAAAAATCACTGTATGCAAACATAGATTAAAATTGATAATGCTAAACGTATCAAAATTATAATTCTGTCTCCTTTAATTGTATATAGCAGGCAAATCGACACTATCCATAAATTCTAACTCTAAATCTTTAATCCTAAATCAAACCTATACTAAGTGGAACTTCATTTTATCTACTCTAGTATTTTTTAGTGAAATTCACTCATACATATGACAACAGAGAAGTTTTAAATTATAGCTGATGCCACTTCGTAAACAAAACTCTGAAGCCTCAATCATTATCCTAAATACCCATCACTAACGAAGAACAGTGTGAAAACCCTTAGAAATCGTTTAGCGTCATTTTAAAGATTGGAGAAGACAAATAATCTCTATCAATACGGTTGAATTAATATCTCTGTTTCTTCAACTCACAGGCGGAACAGCAGTTAGAAGACAATAAAATATTCATTAGTTATCTGAAATGCATTCACACAATAATGTCATTGTCTTTCTTTCATAAACTAATTATTTTTAAAACCTGCTTCCCGATTAGTCTAGCAGTGGCTGGAAATTCGGTGCAGTTTTTTCAAAGTCATCTATAAAGTATGCCTTCATTATCGATTCAATGTCCACAGACGAAAAAATGTTAGGCTTACTGTGTTGCCATTATTCGCATAGATTCTGGCGTAACTCTCAGGGTAATAACTTATAAGCTATAAACAATCATTTTTTGTTCGATAAATCAAAAATCATGATTTCTTTCATCTTGGTACTACCACAGTAAACGAGAGGTCTTCTCTCAATTCAGTTTGGAATGTCTTAAGTAATTTATGGATATGTAAATATAGAGCTTTTATAAGTCACAGCTATGACAGTTCATTTGCTGCTATTAAATATACTAATATAAGCTGAGTAATATTCTTCGATTTAAGTAAGAGCAAGAGAATAGAGAAAACTATGATTTCGATTTAGTTGTTAGCTTGGTAAAGAAGGTAGTCAAGATTGAAGCGGCCAGGATTTCAATTTCCTAGAACACCACCTTAGACACGAATATACTGTCTAAGTAATTTTGTAAGTACCATCAAAACGTCTTGAAATTGTATGCACAATCTTGTCCAACAACATAAAATTCACCACTTTTGAAAAAAAGTGAGGTTAGAAGACGATGAACTGCTCAGTCGTTAGTTTTTTCATCCATGAATATTTAGCTTTCCTAATATAATTGCACTCATAAATATGTTACTGACTAGGGTAAGTTAAATTACAAAATCACAAGTAGGTGACAACACCCTTTCTGTCCACCACCTATCGGAATTTTAATGAATGATATACTGGTTATTTCCTCTTTCAAGAATAATTAATATTTGCAGATGAATATCACAAAGAGAAGCACCGACTGTAAGATAGTGGAATATTCCTCGTTTCAATTTAGTGAACTGCTTTATTTTGACTTGAACGCCAATTATATAATGGTTGTTACAAGTGCCTATCGAACACAAATTCATCGTGACATACTGAACCGTCAATTACTATTGCAAAAGAATGCAATCCAGTCCAAAACAACTCATGCTTTACAATATTTAAAAAATTACCGACGAGTAAAGTTATTTTTTACTGATTCGTTCCTCATTTTACAAGACCTTCCATAGTTAAACTAATAAAAGAAGTATAAATGAAAACTCCTCACCCTTTTAACTTTGATGAACAGTGTATGAAATTATCATACATTCTAGGCTTCCTCTCTCGGCATCATTGATTGGATCCATTGTTAGAAATTTTGCGATGTTTTTAAACTACTGTAGGGGGATCATGGTGATTCCTGAATTTCCGAAACACAGACTGATCTTCGTTGAACAATTATTAAAGACTAAGAAGCACTGGAGAGTTACGTTCTTTTCTAAAAGAAGACTTCTCACCAGTGCGCAACCACCATCTCGCTGTTGTGAATAGAAACCAGGAACCTCTGTGTGCCGTGCAAACGTTTAACCTCTAGACCACTCAGCCTACATCCAATAGCTCACTTGCTAACCTTCAATCAATTCATAATATCTTCCAGTGTGCTTGGTGTGTAACTGCTTCATATATGATACGGTTAATCTCAGTCATACTGGGAGATTATGACTTTAATATATTCAAGGTGACTACCATTATTTACCATTAGAGCTCTTACGAATATGAAGCATATAATTACGCTTAGTTGACTATCTTTTACCTTTAGTCGGTCTCATTTTCTTATAAAGAGCTCACTATCGTTGTAAAATCAGGAAAAATAAACTCTTATTTTTAATTCTATTTCATTACTGAACTTTCGAGATTTACTCTAATAAATCTTATTGACAAGCATTCTTACTTTGAATATTTCTAACCCGAGTCATTATGATGAGCGATTCTTATTTTATATTAATATGTACATATTCACATTTAATTTAAAATATATTTTAGGTGTATATAACACTACCTTGCCAATAACCAATCAATCAGTTCTTCTAACAGTTTTTATCCAGATATATAAAACAAGTTTGGTATCCGTTAAGTTTGAAGCGAAAATCTCACCATTCGGGATGAATTCTACAGTGAATTTTTGTGAAAGCCAAGCCATAGTATTTGCAGGTCCTAATTTGGTAGGTTTACAGTACAAACCATGTTAACCTCCTTTTTAACGAATAGGCTGCGAGCAATATCATAACATTAAAGGACACCTCAATCGTGAATGAATTTGAAAAGTTGCAATTCTTCAATGTTCAACTGAGTATTATGCCTTATACAAAAGCACCTTATGGTATTCAGATATTCACATATATTGCTGGCAAATTTCTGGTGGAACCATGTTCTGTGGATTACTTGCTAACAGAAAATAATTCAACTAAGAAAGTAAGTTCAAAATATCATACAGCTTGTTTCCATTTCCTGTGGTTTTTAATAGACTCTCATAAGGAAGGACAAACTTTACCACAATAGTGTCAATAATTTTAAAGCACAAATAACAGTAGAATCGTATATATAGTTATATGGAAAATATATGTCTACAGGAGGCTAGGAAAGATTGCATTATAAATTGATTCGACTAATCAAGGGGTAAGGAAGAAAATAATTTATGGGTCAGATAATAGTCCAATTGACAAATATGAAGAAAAGCGACAAACATAAAGGTCATAATAATAGACTGAATATAATCAAGAAAACTTGTATAAGGTAATAATAATAATAATAATAACTGATTACCATGCTTGTGAATTAAGGTATATCGAGGCAATACGCACAGTATGCACATATGCCAATTAGAGACTGACCAGTTGCAGTCCTAAACATATCGATGGGAAGATCCAAACAAACAATACTAAGTGAATTCATAACTGATTACTGTTTAAAATGTAAATCAGTAATTTAAAAAAAACCCGTTAATAATCAAATAAAAGTGCTGAAAAAAAACGACTACCAGGAACATACCCATTAATTGAAGAAGTTGGACAAATCGTTTCTGCAAAGTTCAGGCTTCAGTTCATGGATTGCCAATGCCACAGCAGTGCATAAAATATTGATTCGCCCCCCACTCGATCCGGTTCCTATGATAAATTATTTTCTTAGAAGGGGTTTTGTGGAGATTCAGTATTTTCATTGTTGAAATCATGAGTCAATTGAAGCTAGACAACCATCGAAAACCTGGAAGCACTGGACAGCCATTTCGTACTATTATGAGACTCCTCAGCATTGCGCACCCACGATCCCGCACTCGCGAGATTCGAACCCATGACCTACCAATTTGGAGCCAGAACCCTTAACCGATAGACCACTGAGCCGGCATCCAACGGTATTAATGTCTAACTTAATGTCTAACAGTTTACGAGTTAGTTTAATGAAACAGCGTAATTCTATAAAAATCGTTATATTTGGAAGGTCAACACATTATGGAAAATGTCTAGAAAAGTAAGTTAATACATAATTGATAAACATTTAAGACAGTTGCTAGTAATCTAATATACAAAGTTTATCACTCCATCACGGATTGTCGAATCTATTGAAGCGTTTACGTCGTCAGATTGAGATACGTGCACAATCAAAGTTCACAAAGCAACGATTTGTCTTAAATAGAGGTTCTTTAATGAATAATATACAAAGATTAGTAACCAAACTCAACTCAACATGTGAGGTGTCTAAGGCGTTTACCGTATCTTTTTGTCTGAAATAAAAAAATGCTTCCTGTAACAATAACATAAAGAATAATTTCAATATACGATAGTGCAAAATACAGATGTTAGTTATATCTAAACTTGGTAACAGTTTACCAACAAACGAAAGCCGAACCAAGAGCAAACAATAAAGAAACTGGTGCGTTCAAACTAGAGTTAAATAAACACACAATTTGTGAATAACCACTAAAATGATTGAGATTAAGTAATTATAATGATAAATATAATAAATGTTGTAAGTAAATGTAAATATTTCAGAATATTGTACGACAAACGTTACAACATAAGCGTAGAAATTGCCAGGAATTAAACTATTTACCGAATATTGATAAGTAGTATATATATAACTTGTCTAAAATCAAAATCATTTGAATGAACAAGCTTATCTCGTCATTGTAATATCACTATTATCTAAAATCATGTTTGGAGAATATCTAATTATTCACTGATGAACATATCCACTAATTACCTACAGACATCAGAGATCCTTCATTATAATGAGATAACGGCTAGTGAAGAATTTTCATTCTGTACACTTTTAGTAGTAGTCCAATCAGATCTTGAGCTTCATGTATAATTGACTCGAATAATAAGATTAGAATTAAAACTTCAATGAATTCGGAGTGAAACACTCATCTCTGTGTCTGCTTAATAAATAGAAATACTTCTTCATTACCAATAAAATTTATTGTTTCATATAGTGATCCCAGATTTCAAATATGAAAAGAGGTTGCGTAATGATCAATGGGTTAAAGAAGAATGGGGAGATGACTGTAATATGCAAGTCAGAAATTCATTGTTTCACATTTTACTATATTTTCTATAATTATGGACGAGTTTCCACCAATCCGTATTTGCTACATGTTGCATGTAACATAAACTACAGTTGTACCATTAGTGCAAATTTGTAGAACCCTTAACAGTAAACCATCCTACTTTTAATATTTTGACTTCTGTTTGACATGGGTTTCAACCAGTTTATTGATTATTTATTCAATGATCTAGAGCAACTCTAAATAGTAAAATAATTTGGACATTCCCTTGATCAATGATTCCTAGATTCACATATCACAACATTTAATGTTTAATCAAAACAACGAATGAATATTGTTTAAATCCAGTAGGTGGAAACTTAAAAGGGGAGTTTATTAAACGAAAAAATGTTGTTGGTTATTGTCTCTGCTATGCTTATTAAATGTAAAAGCAAAATCCTTGGAGTAGTCATTGACTCGAATTCTATGAAGGTAAACGCTGTTTTAATTTTGTGCTGTTTTCATCAAATGAAACAATAGTGGATTATCAATAGATTTATTCCATCCTTTACTCAGTTATGCAGCCAACTTCATAGGATCAATTACATTCAGTTATGTACATAGGATTGACTTGACTCGAAAACCTATTTGTCACATGATTGAACAGCGTATAGTATCTTGTAAATACAATACATGGTGTATATGTGTAGAGTGTTTTGTGTGTATTACTTCTTACTAGTCTGATTGCTGGAGGTTAAGCAATAATATTCCTCACGAAGGCAAGCATACAGTTTAGTTTTTTTCTTATTCAATGATGTTAAACGGTGTCCTAGTGATAATGAATTAGGAAATTGTTGGGACGATCCTGCAGATTTATTGCAATAGACATGAAAAGCTTAGGAAACATTAAGAAGCATTTTATCCGATCAGCGTTTGACTAGATGGTTTGCTAGTAACATCACTAGAGTGAAAAGTCACATGTAGAGGTTCTGATAGGCTGATTACTACACTGCTACTATATTTAGTAGTGATTATAATTCCTTGAAAAAGCTTGGACCAGATTGCCAGTAGAAACGTTGGATTTATTACAAATTCATTCGCTGAGATTTTACAAATATATTATTCCTATTTAATGTCTTACATCAACTCGGCGCTCAAATACTGTGAAACCATTAGCTCTTATTTAGACGAGATTTCTTCTATATATTTAGTAGTATTCTAGAATTTTCAGGAAAACTCAAGGACTTCTAAAATACTATAGAAACCCTATATTTTCTGTGCATAAATGAACCTTTGGAGTAAAGTGCTTCTCTTATACTTTGCGCCTTTTCTCTCGTGTTCAAGTCGCTGAGTAGTTCTAGCTTGCGGATTACGAGACTAGCTTAGGATCCGAATATAGCGTTCAATCAACAAGACTTATCAGAAATATCAACATAAATTTAAATTAATTCCGCTGATTTTCGTAAACAAAGAACTATCACGTCACTACTGGTGAATTCGACATTAATAAATGTTTTGATATTGTATTTTCAGTTTGAGTACTTTACTTACATTACAGATCAGACTAATAACAGAATACTCTGTATTTCAAGGGCGAAGAACAACAGGCACAACGCTAATCGGTATATTCAGAAACAATAACCCATGGAATGTTTCTTATAATTTCCAAATAGGAGTAAAATTATTTAGCTATCCCACCTACGTCTTGGGTGATACAGTACAATTTCCGATTCGGATGTATTCTGGAACACTAACTATATCTACTTTTGTATTAACGCTTCCGATAACGTCTATGGTGCAACCCATATCCACTACTCCTGTAAGTTTGATTCATAATTTCATTCAATAATGCATCTAAACAATATTCTACAAATAGAACCTGATCTATCAATGTAGGATATGTATGATTTTAAGCATCGATTTAACTTATTTGTATTTGTTACATGAATCTCCCATTGATATGTTTGAGAGCAAATGATCAGTCTCTTGTGACATTCGTGTATCATATCCAGATCACTTCAATATTGTGATAAAGTCACAAGTGTTGTATGCAAACTTGGACAGTAGATATCAGTAGAATTCGGGACGTTTATGCAAATCTGAACATAGACGCTAAGTGGATGACGCGTTGTGTGTTCGAAGTACTGAGTTCAAGTCCTCATATGAACATCAGTACTGAAGTACAGGAATATCTTACCACTGAATTCCAAATGCGACAAAACGCGCTTTACATTTATTTTATATTTAGGGTCTTTGAAGTCTTAGATATATGAAACCCTAAACTCATTTGTATGTTATGCTACCCCAGTGATCTATGCATTTATCTATTATTCAGATAAATGTGATTTATAGTTTTGCTTTACAATTTTTGGAAATTTCAAGTATTCCTTAACCCTACTCTATCTTTATTTCCAACATAAAATACCTTGGAACTCGAGATTTTGAAACATGTAAAACCGCATGAGCAATTAAGTTTTCCTGACTGAAATGGATCCTTTTTATTGCTCACTCAGATCAACTCTGGGAAAAATAATCATGACGCGTAAGACAAGAACTCTATACTCGTTTTTAGGGTCATACTGGAAATGTATCACCAATTTATGAGGCACTAGTTCACATATGTACAAGAGTCATAGATTCTACTGCTATTTACTGTCCAACTCTGCTTAAAATACTTGTGACTTAATCACAATATCGAAGTGATTTTCATGGGATGCATATACATCCACTATGACTAGTCAGAATTCAGTGAGAAAATCTACAACGCGATAATCCAAATTATTACAAGTTAAGCTGAAACACTTTTGTTCTGAAGGTATAATATGTGGGCGAGAATGATAATGATGGGTTGTTTTGCCTAGTCAGACTTTTGGATACTCTGACAGGCGTTAGATGAGATATACATTCTCCTGTCCTTACAATGATAATAATAATAAGAACAGTGATAATAATGATAATGATAATAATAAAAATTATTATTGAAATTCACTATTGAAAGTCTCTAATTGGCATATGTGCATACTATGCACATTGCCTCGATATAGCCTTAATTCACAAGCATGGTAAGCAAAGATGGATAGTGGCTAGCAGTGGAATCCAAGACGCGCGCTTCGTCCTATTTGGGACTGGTCAGCTGGATGTATCCGCATCTCAGAGTTGATGTTCACTCTGGAACTCGAACCGTAAACGATGGTTAAATGAAGCAACTTATACGCAATCTGAAGATAGTAATAATGTTTGTGAAAGAAGCAAATAATCTTTATATTTCAGTTATTTTGCAAACCGTTATCCTTAATACCAAAAAGCTGATCAGTTTAGCTATGAAAAGGGTGTCGTAAATGAACGCAAGATTATTATCAAGGTTTTTTTGTAAATCCATTCAAAGCATAAAATATTTTGACCTGTACATTCTTTGTAGTTGATCACTTATTAACGATCACCGAAAATACATGTTAGTGTTGTACTCAGTCATCATGTAATACGGTAATTGTGTTTGTGAGGTGGGCATAACATTTTTTGGCACGTAATGTTAACAGCCAATGTTTTTGAAGTGCACAACCTTTCAAATTAATGATCTGAGATTTTTATTGTCATTTGTAAATGACATTGTAAACGTTATTTAATTAGAAAGTCTGGAATTATATTTCCAATTCAACAGTTCCCTTTGTTAAACATGTTAGACGAACAATGAAAAACTGTACATACATTTTCCATCACAAGGGAAAATAATTACTGTTATTGTGACAAACACTAAATCGCTGATCGTTGAAAAAATAACCTTTTTTGACAAGCATATGTAATATAGGTTGAATGAAGTGTCAATGAACAAGCCTATGTCTAGCGAAATAAATTTCTATGTCAATTATATGATTTAATGTGAATAAGGTCAATTGTATCAAGTAACCATTATGTAAAACAATTAGTCCCTTTGATAAATTTCGATAATGCAATGAGAAGACGAAGTTTATCAGAATTATGTGATATATTAGCGCAATACATTTCGAACAATCTGATCACACATATACTTGTTAAGACATTTTTATATGAAAATTAAAAGGTCAACTAGACAGGTTAAGGTAAGAAAATAAATAAAGTACACAAAAACGATGTGATGACTACTCTGGATAATAAATAAGCATTACCAGGGTAGGTTAAGGGTAAGAATAAATGAATAACATTAGGATCACGTCGATTTTTTTTAATAAATTTTTTTTGTCCCCCTTAATCAAAAATAATAATAATAAATACACTACTGTTATCGGGTCATTCGATTCTAATCGCTGAAAAATTCCTACCATATTAAATCACAATTATATGAACGAGTTAATAACAAGATATACTGATGTTGACATCATATCCCAGATCACATCGATCACCATTTCCCAATACACATTGACTTTTTGTATCATAATCTAATTTTCAGTCCTCATCTATCGGTTGACATTAGAATCAGGATATGATGTCAACATCAGTATATCTTGTTATAACTCGTTCATATAATTGTGATTTAATATGGTAGGAATTTTTCAGCGATTAGAATCGAATGACCCGATAACAGTAGTGGATTAACATTGGTTAACGAGTTACGAGTTACGGAATTTACTGAGGATAAACTAATGTGCTTCATTGAAATAAATTTTGGATCCGATTAAAGGGGTACAGATCTAGTGAACATCTGTCAGCTAGCATCAAAAGGTACGGCCGTTTATTTCGCGATATTTGACTTAGTGATTGTCGATTTATATAAAAAAATTTGTGGTTACAGACTTTACTAACTGAAATACAAAAATATCAATGTTTTACCATGGAACAGTTTAAATTGCACAGCATTATATATGCAACATCAAATATAGTACCAAGACACGTTAGCTACCAGTAATTTTCAATCAAATCTGAATATCCCATTTACCCGAATACTTTTCTTTTAAATCAGACTTAAATTAATCAGTCATGCTCTTTTGCCTAACATTTATTATTCTACGCAAATCATTTCAGATGAATGCTTATAACCCAAATATAAACTACATGTAAATATAAATTTAAATTGTAACCATTCTCTTAACTTGTTATCATTTGCAAACATTATTTGAAATTAGGTCTCTAAAACTCCTGTAGTTACCATTGAAAAAGTCGAACCACGAAGTTCACAACCAGCGGTAAACTTTAGTACAGTTGTAGAAGTTCGAGTGAAATTCGTTAAAGACTTTGTCTACATACCGATAATTTTTCAGTTACAAGTAAATTCAAGTGAAGCAATTATAATCAGACAAAGTATTCAAACAATTGGATATCTATTGAAAACTGTAGCGCCTGTGGGTTCTGATCTTTCTGTTAAACCGTAAGCTTGATTATTAACCGTATTCTCATGTATATGTAAATGTGAATACATGATTCATTATATATATGTATACTCACGTATAATGTTACAAAAAATCCACTATACGGATGTGGATCAATATAGTTGCATCAAATGTGGACTAAATTGACTATATTTACCTGTCACTTATTATTTTTAAAGCAGAATTCCTTGTTGAAATACATGTAGTCTATCTTGCATAATTCGTCAGTAAATCTGAATGTATTATTCAGAACTCTGTGTCAGTTTGTTTTGTCAGTTTTCCAAATTACATTTCACATATCAGTAGATTTCTGTGCAAGGAAATGCATTATGTTTTCATGAGTTATCATTTTTTCCAATAGGCAAGATTTAGATATTTGAAAAAATATTTTAAGTCTCAGTATGTAGAAGTTGTATATTATTATCTTTTAGTTAGTCCTGACTCTCGTTAAGAATCCAACTCGTGTAAGGGTTCTTGAGTGCCACATACATTCAATTGTCAGTCACTGTAGTAGTGACGTGAATGTAAGTAATCCACAATGACTTTTGACTTATAAGTATAAATGTAGTAGTATCTACGATGCTGGCCGTTATCTTTTATATACGTTAAAAAGAGTAAACACAACTGAATCACTGTTGAACAAACCCGTTTGGCGTATCAAAATTATTTTTATTAATTAAACAAAATGTGCCTTGTCATAAACCTTAATGATATGCATAACCGATTGTATACTAAGTCTTTCTGAAATGTTAATTGAGTCGGAGAAAAAATGGAGTTAGCACATATTATCTGATTTGCATTAAAACATCCTATTATTCACTTGGTATTATTTATTTGAATCTTCTCATTGATGTAAAGGACTGCAACTGATCAGTCTCTTAATGATATATGTGCATCCTGTATGTATTGTCTTCCTAGTGCTTTACTTCATAAGCATTATAAACAAATATGGGTAGTGGCTAGCAGTGGAATCCAGGACACGCGTTTCGTCCTATTTAGGACTGAGTAGCTAAGTGGATAACGCGATGTCGTTTGAAGCGAATGGTTTTGGGTTCGAGTCCCAAAGTGAATGTCAATTTTGAGATGCAGGTATACCCAGCTGACGAGTCCCGAGTAGGACAAAACGCGCGTCTTGGATTCCACTGCTAGCCACTATCCATCTTTGCTTATAATCCTATTATTACTATCATTCCGATAAACCATGAATAAAATGAAAATTGAACTTATCCAATTTTATTAACTACTTTTATATTTGTTATTCACATTTTGGGCAAAGCACTCATGAATGTGGTGAAATTATTCACTTTCTACTCACTAACTTACTGTGATTATCAAAAGCTGGAAATATTTCAGTGAAACAACAACTCATCCCTTACAACCATTATAAAAATAATTTCATACTGGACTCTTTTTAAATGAATTGACAGAAAAAATTATTCGTACCATTAGAAGCGTCATTGATACCCCTTGACGCCTCTCATCAATTTTGCTTTATATTAATCAACTATGATAATTTGTATTCATTAATTTATTCATATCTTAGTTTGAATTTGGGCTTCATGGGTGATAATCCCTTCAACAAATTTGGAATCCGAAGATGCACTTGTGGTTGTCAGTATTTGATATTATCATTAAACTTTGTATATTGTTCCTCCTGATAAGCGTTACTAGATAACGCCCAACGGTGTATAAATTAGAAGGTGAATACGAAGTGTTGAATACGTTTATTATTGTACTACGCACATATTGCCAAAATTACAGGCACGTTAAGCAAGCATGAAAGAGTTGTGCCAAAAAGTAAGCGGGTGAGCGTGCGAATCGAATGAGCGAGAGTGTGAGTGATCAAGTCTACGAACGAGTGTGCGAGTTTTTGAACAGGATTAAAATGTACATATATACATATGGAAATGAATAATTTATCGAATCAATTAAGCGACTCATAGCAAGGCTAGTAGAATGAATAAATGCGTAAGCAGTAAGCAAAACTCAAGCATACATTTATTCATACAAATGCAACAGTAATAAACATACAATAGTATAAATAGGTTGCCATTATACGAATGACTCTGTCAGTTAAATGAGTTAACAAAAAGGCCTAAACCAAATGAAATATGAACAAACACAACTGTACGTAAGCTGCCATACACTACAGTTTTTCTGTTGTTCTAACAAACATTCATAAATCACTCTTCCTTTTATTTTGCCTTTATTTTCTCTATTACCAAAGTAATTTGGCTAGATTGCAAATAAATTCGGTGTACTTCAATGAATCATGTACAGATGCTCAGTGTGATATTGCATTGCGTTATTCGATAATTCCAATTACCACAAAGCCTTTAGTAATCACATCAACACTTACCTCTGGTGTATCCAGTTTTACGAAAACGTTAACTATCACTCCACGAGCTAACTATTCTGCTGTACTGGTATGACTTGAAACAACTTTTTTTGCATTGAATTTTGCTTTCATACTTTACTTCAGAGATTTTTAGCCCTATGACAAACTACTGGCTGTGATTTAGGTGTAGATAAATATTTGTGACTGATTAGAACAAGTGTGATTTTCACAACCTGATATACATACACAGGTTGAAGTGATATTCAAACAGGTTGTTCACTCTGTTGTGTTGTAAAAATGTGAAGATGACTTTGAAGTCTGATGATTTAGTAACCAGCAAAAGTAGAGTAATATTAATAATAAGATACCTAGCATTTGTGATATACACTTTGTTACGAAATGATTAGTGAAAAATTCATTTACTTATAATATTCTTCCTTAAATCACCTCGTAAATTAATCCTATCAGGATTTACTTTCAATATGAACACCAAACATGACTCTCTGATTGACTTCGATGACAGGTTAATGGATCCGTCAGGTAATTCTAAAATTCATCTTGAATAAATTCACTGAAGAGTATTGTAATTTTGTCGAGTTTATTAATTCTTGAGCATAGTGGTAAGTTTTAAGTGTTTTATTCATAACACATTGTATTTCAGATTTTACAATGTATAAAAGGAATTTGCATTTGTTAATTTTTTCAAGTCATCAAGTCAGGCCCCAGGAGTTGCTTTAACCTCTATTAATTCAAAAACAGTCAAAAATCAAGTTATACCGAACTCTCTTACATCATTTAAGTTAACGTTAACTCTGAAACCCAATGTATGGCAGACGATATATTTCCAACTTTATGCTCCAGGTGCTTACCAAGAATACATACTTGTCAGGCCAATTATACTAAGCCAATTAACATCATTGACATATATCAGCATAAATTCGGACTCTTTGGAAAATATGGTTTATCTCAGTATAGATAAAGCTTATTACGAAGGTTTGTTGTCACTTATTTCACAGTTTTATTTATAGTAATCGGTATTGATAAGATTACTAATAATCTCTCTTTCATTAATAAACGATTTTACTCATGAATCTTTTTAGCTGTACTTAATGAAGTCACCGAGTTATGTCAAGGCAGTCTCCAAGCTGATTTCTCGTCATTTAATAGTGTTTTATTACTTATTCGTTAATGTATAACCTCTATTTTCTTACTACACATGCACACCTGTCAAACATGCTTGTACTTTCATATCAGTCCCGTGAATTTTGTTACGATTTCATCAAAACAATGGATATAGATTCATTCCTTGAGTGTTAATCTATTCAGCTTACCATTTCATTTGAACCATATACATTGAATCCTTTCCCCATAAAATATCTATTTTTGATCGATAATAAAGAGATCAACTACATTTATGAATATATTCAAATATTTAATCTGCACAACTTGTTTTCCTACATTGGAAATAATTCAGTGAAAGTGAAGCGATTTCAATTAAGTTCACGAATTCCAAAAAATGAGTTACGGTTCGCCAGTAAATCAAGATAATTTCCTATGTCTATTCTGTTCTTTGAAACAGTTTGAAATAGTTTTTGTGAAAAAGAAACATCTCCATTGTTAATGATTTGACAGTATTTTTATTTGTAATTAGTGTCTGAGATCAATTCTACCATTCCTTAAATTTATTGTTCGAAAGAGAACAAAATTCATCTAACTCCTAAAGACCATCTGTGGAACTCAGATAAGAATTTTGCCGGAGTCTCTGAATCGAACTGTGAATTTATGAACACGGTAGTATTAAGCTTGCCGTTTACAATGCTCTGCTAGTTTGAAATTTATCCAGAAAGAATTAATTGATATTCGTACTAACATTCCTATGTTGAGATTCGTTCAAATTATTCTAACTAAAATGTAATTATACTAACGTACTTTAAGTAATCTTAAAAGATTCATTGTCTGATTTAATATAGCAATAGTTCATTTGAAATAATGATAAATAGCGATAAAACTGATCTAATAGAATCAGTTACAGTCAGTACTTAAAGTGAACGTTCTTGGGAAACTTCATAATATTACTGTTATATTTGTAACAATAACTGTCTTGACTAATTATTGTTACATTGTTATGACTAACGCACGCACCAATGATAACGACGAGGACGATAAAGAACAGCTTTAAGAGTAGCAAGACAATCACTGAGATTTAAGAACAGAGGAACAGGTGGGTAGAACACTTCGAGGAACTCTTGAATAAGTCAGGAACACGTACCACTGACAGACTGGAAATAAGGACAACTCATCCATATATCAAAGAAAGGAGATCTGAGAAAGTGTGAGAACTGCAGAGGCAACACATAACTCTCACTACCAGTAAAGGTTTTAAACAAAGTGTTCCTGAACCAGACTACAGACTCAGTAGACATCCAACTTCGATATAACCAGACTGGATTTCGTAAGGATCGATCGTAGACATACCATATTGTAACATTGTGGATCATTATTGAACCATCAATTGAATGGAAATCGTCACTATACATCAATTCCTCTGACTATAAAAACATGCCATATTGTAGATGGGACTTTATGGAAACTTCTTCGACACCATAGTGTAACCGAGAAGATCGTCAATATCATATGGAATTCATTCGACGGACTATAGTCCAAAGTGGTGCATGGATGAAAGATGACAGATGTATCATAAGTGAGGACCGGAGTCAGATAAGACCACACACTCTCTAACCTATTTCTTCTGGTGGTTGACTGGATTATGAAGACCTCGACATCTGAGGGTAATCATGGAATAGAATGGACAGATCAAAATCAACTAGATGATTTGGACTTCACAGATTGTGTTATTCTCGTTGACTACAAAATGGCCTGGCCCTTTTATCCCATACACATCAACAAATGCAGGTCAAGAAAACCAGTGTAGCAGCAGCCTCTGGATCAGTGGACCTCAACATACACGAGGGAAAAGCCAAGATACTCAAATAAAACACGGAGAACACTAATCAAATCATCTTGATGAAAAGGCGCTCTGGAAGTGGTGGAAACTGTCAAGTACCTGGAAGCATCATTGGTGAAAGTGGAGTATGTGATGCAAACGTAAATGTGAGGACTGGCGAAGCAAGGATAGCATTCCTACAATTGAAGAACATATGCAACTCAAAATAACTCTCAACCAACATCAAAGTCACAATCTTCAATACGAAAGTCAAGACAGTTAGTTCTATTGTACGAAGCTTCACCGAAAATGATAAAGGTTTTTCTAAACGATTTTCTATGCAAGATACTGAATGTCGGTTCACTGAGTAACATCAGCATCAGTCCTACTGTGGGAGAGAACAAACCAGGTTCCAGTTGAGGAGGAAATTAGGAAAAGACGTCGGAAGTTGATAAGACACATATTGAGTAAACCGTCAAATTGCATCACGAGGCAAGTGCGAACTTGTGATCCTGAAGGGAAGCGGAGAAGAGGAAGGTCAATGAACACACTGTATCGGGAATTGGAAGCAGACGTGAAAAGGATGAATAGCAACTAGAAAGAGTTGGAAAGGATTGTCCAGGACAGAGTTGGATAAAGAATGCTGGTGGGTGACTTATGCTCCTCCATGAGATGTAACAGGCATAAGTAAGTGAGTAATTAAGTACTTATTCGAGATCGTCCAGCTAAATCGGTAGATGATATCCATCATCTTCATGTTCAACTCAGTATTCTTTTTTACATAGTGCTTGCACAAACCATTTTATTTCCTCGTGTTATTTTACTTATTATTATAATCTGTTCTGACAACTATGATACATTATTTTCATTTATCTTTTGGTAAATTCTGTATATTTTTACTGTATACCCACTTTAAAAGCTAAATGTGAGATCAAACTCTAGGTACTAATTATTTTAGATTGATAATTTCCCGTGCATATATGCTGGTCCATAGTTGAATCTAAATTTGTTGAAAAGGAATTCCTTCCTTAATCGAATGCTTTTGCAGCTTAGTGGATATGTTATTACAGTACAATATTCTAATAGACCCAAACATTACTAACTGATCATCCAAGAGATAAATATTTGATTTTACAATCAAACTATCTTCACTCTTTCAAACAAATATCCCTTCAGCTCATTGAAAAATCTTCAAGAAAGTTATGTTTCTAGTAAATCGTGTGTATTAATATATATTTCGTATTAAATTGTGGTTTATCGATCCCATAGGAATTATATTTTCTTGTGTGAATGCACGTAGATGTGATAAATTGATAGTTGTCAAAGTACAATCATTCAAATTTGCCTCATTAAGAAATTTGGCTGTCAATTTATTTTTTATATCTATAGGAATCGCAACCGATCAAACGATTTCGGCAGCAAATGAGTTAACTTTGTATATCCCAATGTTCACTGCGAATTCTGTCAGACCACTGGTCAATTTTACTTACAATTTGACAGTTAATTCAATCTCTATATTTGGTAGCTTCATATTTACTACCACTACTCCAGCAGTAAGTCACAGTACTCATTTTCATTCATTTTGCTTCGAATTACATCAAGATAATTTTGTTACTTGACTTCTTTACATTATTTGGTGGAATCGGTATACAATATCAATGGATTAACTGTTATTTTGTTTAATTGATAATCTAACTTCAGTTGTTGTATTTTATCTAACGGCGTTGTTTAGCTACCTGAACTTTCAGGATGACTATTAAATTGGATTTTCAAGCAAGACCGTGATGTTTATGTCTCGTATACTAGATAAAATTTTTATCTATCTATAATAAACTCCATATAATTGATGTATGTTGTAGTTTTATTGAGGTCTTTTAAGAAAAAAAATAGAGTTGTGGATGCCACTTATCTGTGGTTGTATGTAGATGCTGATAGTTCGTCAAACACAATCAGTACCGAATCCTGACATAAAATCGTTATTCACTCTAAAGGATCTCTTGAAATGACCGATGATTCGGTCATTATGTTCTTCTGCTGTTCTTTCGGTTCAATTTACACCTGGCAGAATATAATATGAATTCTATTTCATTTTTCAGCTCAGCTAAATACAAGTTTCTAAGTCTAATTAGTTGAAGATAATAGCATATATGAGAATAAAACATAAACCATCCATCAGAGAACAATAATTGTTCTCCATGACAAAATTGTGACGGGGATTTTAGGAAACCTTCAACAGATTTATAAATAATTTTAGCGTTAATTACAGAATACGCTGATATTACGCCAAATCATTTTCTTTCATTCTCAGTTGTCGCTTCCATATTAAATTGAGCCCTACCGTAACTTTTCACTAGAATATTCCTATGATTTTATCTCGTAATGAAACATGAAATTATCATCATCATCATCACATCATGCGTAGAATGAGGTCTCGTAATGGCGAATGGTAATTTTGTTCTCCTCAGTTTCACAAAGAAGATTTGAGCAATAACTCGTCTCGAATGTTCACTCATAAATACACGGGTTCTAGATGGTTTGTCTTATTGCTGAACTAAAAGTGAATGTTTACAAGTCATAGCCTTAACATCTCTGTGAGTTGTGCATAGAATATATCTATTGATCATAAATAGTTTAGAATTATGTCAAATATTTTCAATAGTAATATTAATAATTAAAGATGGATGGTGGCTAGTAGTGGAATCCAGGACGCATATTTCGTTCTGTATCCCAGATTTGATGCAGATACATCCATCTGATGAGTGCCAAACAAGACGAAGAGAGCGTCCTGGATTCCACTGCTAGCCACCATCCATCTTTGTTAATAATACTTGTGACCTAAGACAATATTAGGACAATCCGTACAGAATGTACATATGTCAATAAGAGGCTGATCAATTGCAGTCCTAAATATCAATGGAAAGGTTCAAGCGAACAATACCATATGAAAAAGTGTTAGTAGATCTTAACGATGCGCCAGAAGTTTGGAATGTTTTATATATTAATTGAATTTGTTACTTCCGGAAACCTGAGATTGTCCTCCAAACTGTACACGATCAGTTGTCAATCAAGTGTTTTTCATCTAGCTTCCTAACCAGTGGAAAAAAATTGTAACAGGAATAGTTACTCATGAAGAAGTTTGGTTCCAGTAGTTTAACATATATTTACCCTCACATGAACAATAATCCACTCCGTTTTTGTACGTCGTTCTACCACTACGGTTTCTTTCGAAGAACTGTCTAAGGTTTTTACTGCTGTTCTAGTGATGAAAATTCGATTACTGTCACACTGATAAGACATTGGTTTAAGAAATGGTTTGCAAATGTCATCTAATCTTCCAGAATAATCATCATTTTCCGTAAGTACTCGGGCTTACTAATCAATGAAACAATAGAACTTCTGTCTATTTAAATTAGTACTAAACACTTGTTATTTCCTAATTCCAGTAATCCATTATGATAATCGTCAACGGTTTTCCTATTCAGTGATCATAAAATGATAAAGACTAATTCATGTTTGGGGTGGGTGAGTACTATTGACAGCTTAACGGTGTTTCTATTATTAGACATTTATGAGACTGCGAAATAACATTTTAACAGTAGGTGTCCAAAACCTAACCGAAGCCTCAGTTAAAAATATGTGGATCATACCACAATTATAGGAAAAACGAGAAAAAGAGAATATTGCATCATAAAAGTTATTACTTCATAAAATCAGTTCACTAATTTTGTGAAGCAGAGAGAATTAGTCTATGTTGCTTTGATATACTTGTTCGTTGAAGGAGAAATTGCTGAAACATTTCTTTGGCAAGGTTCGATTTTCGGTTTCTATAGTTACTGCCCAGGGTTATTCTATGAGATTGACCGTATTTGCATGATGAATGACATCAAAATTAGACGAATACTTCATATGAGACACAGATGTGACATAGTTTTGCTAGAAAACATGACATTATTTACTAAATAAATGTAAATATCAGCATAAGGTCATGGAGATTGTAGAGTTTTATTGAGATCATTAACCGCTCGATGTTAGACTACAATTGAAAACCTTTATGCAGTGGACAGCCGTTTCGTCCTAGTATGAGACTCCTCATTAGTGCGTATCCACAATCTTGGACGCAAGACTCGAACCGATCCCCTAAACCTTCGAGCAGGCATCCAACAGTATTATTGTCTAACCGTGTTGAGTGTGAGACAGTTACTCACCGAAGACAGTGGAAGATGGTCGGGCAACATTATATTGGTTGAAGTTCGACATTGATCCCGCGTGTGGGATCGTGGACGCGCACTGCTGACGAGTCCCATATCAGGACGAAACGGTCGTCCATAGGTTCCAGGTTTTCAGTGGTGGTTTAATATCGATTAGTTGGTGATTTTAATTAATTGTAAATAGTTGACATTTATCCTGGGAAACATCATCGATGAAAGTGGAGTATGTGATGCAAACGTAAATGTGAGGACTGGCGAAGCAAGGATAGCATTCCTACAACTGAAGAACGTATGCAACTCAAAATAACTGTCAACCAACATCAAAGTCACAATCTTCAATACTAGAGTCAAGACAGTTAGTTCTATTGTACGAAAGGGAAGTCCTACTCACTGCCTTCTCGTGGCATTACTGTTGTTTACGAAATTGAGAGGACGAAAAGCGAATGTCCGGCGCTTTAACCGGGTTTGTGGACACGGCGAATCCACCTAGGGGAGTTGGAAAACCCTGATTCCAAACCAATGGTGCACATGGGCTCCAGTATCCTGAGGGAACAAATGGCGTACGAATCAATTGTTGATCACCGGCTACCATGGGACTGCATCTCCTCACGATGCTCCACTGCCTTGTGGATCAGATCTTTCGGTCAAATGCTCCGGGTGTGGCCCCCTAAGAAAACCACCTGCTTCAGTTCGGGCAGCATCACAGTCCTCAAGCAAATCGAATGAGATTTGTATGGCGCATATGTATCTGGTGCTTCCTTGTACCAATATTTATGTGTTTAAATAAATATAAATAAACTATTGTACGAAGCTTTACCGAAAATGATAAAGGTTTTTCTAAACGATCTTCTATGCAAGATACTGAATGTTCGTTCACTGAGTACCATCAGCATCAGTCCTACTGTGGGAGAGAACAAACCAGGTTCCAGTTGAGGAGGAAATTAGGAAAAGACATCGGGAGTGGATAAGACATTTGTTTTGATCTAAAATATGAGTTAAATGTACATCTATAAATACAATATTCCTATGTTTATGTTGAAGTCAAACATGTTGTACATGTTGTTTTTCTTTTACAAACACTAAGCTATGAAACCTATTATTCAATAATTGGAGTTTATGACTGTATGAGTGAGGAAAACGTTTAATAATCTGTCATTTTGCCAAACAATTTTTCAATTCGGAATGATTAAACATCTTTTGTGAATTGTAAAACTCTTTTCATACAACGTGGTAATTTCAGTCTTGATATTTTCTAAACACAGGCATTTACTACAACTATCCCAAGTACTTGTACTTTAACTTCTCCAAGTGCCACTGATGTTTATAAACAAATGTGTACTGGAGGACCGTTTGAATTTGTGATCAATATGTGTCCGGTTGAAAGACGTTGTTCATTCTTTACATACTGGATCAACAGAATTGTGAATGGCACTGCAGCTCTTAATATTACAAATGTAACTATACTTACGTATGGTACAGATGTGTGGCTCTCAACCTCGTTCTCTTTAAATTTAACATCTGAACCTAGGTTAGTTTAAACTGATTAAATCCTACGTTGTTCAATAATTTCTTTAGATGTTATTGTAACTAGGCTAGCATCCCATAAACGAACACACTTACTTTCAGTGATCGAAAGTGAATTGTGTGAAATTACGGAAACAACTTAAGAGACCTAGATAAGATGCTGTTACGTCCTTGAACTGTCTACCAGATTTCGTGCAGTGGATAACTTGTCTAATGTGCATTAAGACCTTGACACAGTAGGCTGACTGGCTTAACCTTGAGTCTAGTATACGTGAGTTCAAACTGAGATCGACCGCTTGAGGTAGAGAGACAAAAACTATTCTATCACTTGATTGGCTGGCAGAAGACAGAAGACAAAGTCAAATGGAACACTACTTGATTCCGATCTGGTTCCCGGTTTCAGATTAGTGTGAAAAGATACATGAACAAATAGATAACTAACCCGACCACAACGTACGTTAATTAGGAAAATACAATTATGTCCAAAACTGGGGGATCGGAGTAGAAAATAGAGTACGAAAGATTACGTTTAAATACAAAAGCTTTGGAACAGAAAAGGCTATGGCAGTGAATCATGCATCAAACGAAAGCTTATTATCTGTAAAATAGACCAGGGACAAAAGTAAATGTTAGGGTTTTACAAGCTTTGAATTCAATGAAATAACGTCCCCAAAAATAGTTTCCGTAGTTTGTCAAGGCTTCTTATTTCTCTGTTCACGTCAGAAGCAAATAATAACTTATACTGATAGATCGAGGAATGGTTTTAGTTGAACAGCTGAAACTGAAAACATACGCTTGACATGATTTTCATTGTAATTGTATGCACCAAATATTCATAATGATTTATACTTATTTTCTTCAGTTATGTGAGAGTGGATTACGGCCCACTATGCACCATCAACCAAAATTTTTTTTGTGTAAGTCTGAAAAATAGTAAGTGTTCTGTTGTACATTGTTGTCAGATAAAACTAAGTAGGAATTGTGTTCTTAGAAAAAAATTGATAATAAACATGCTTGATCCCCTATACATTTTTAGTAAAATACTTTAAAACCAATTTTCGAGTTGCTAATGGTAATATAATGGGTGTATTAAATAGTTTCGATGAAAAACTGAAAAAACTTCATGAAGCACAGTTACACGAATTTCTATCACAAACAACAGAAAAGTAAGTAACTAATTTCAGTGTAGTAAGTAAGAGATTTATAAGTCAAAGTCTAGATTTCGAATCCAATCAATATTAAGATGGCCTAGATTTCACTTTGAACGTGACTGTTTAAACATTCTCAGTAGCTTTGATAGTGTGCAGAGAGGATTTCTCACTACCCCGAAATCTAAACTTCTGTCCCAGAGTTTATCAGAACCCATATTCAGTGGAACACCAGATGGTAAAGCGTTAATTAGTGTTGACAACTTCATTTCTGTCAGTATCATTCTCTCTACTGACGATAATTAATGATTCGTCAGGCCATTCCAAGACCATGGTAGATGTCTGACTGTCAATCAGAAGACGAATAAAGTAAACATCAGAATGTGCTCACTTATTTTGCAGACATGAAACACATGATGAAATTATGTGAAACTTACGAGGCATATGTATTTGATGGTGATTACATTCTATAATGACATGGTTAAACATCAGTCATTCCTTAAATCCTAACGTGTTTGTAATTTTTACTGATTTTATCTTCTGGTGATATCAAGTGTAGTAACTATAACTGTTACATATAACGATCGAGTCATACGTCTTTATCCTGGTAAGATACACAATTTTTAGATTAGTTTAAAGATTTCTGTCGAAATTCGCAACGAAATTATTGGTATTTCCCGGAATTAGACAAGAAATAAATCAAGTATCTTTGTAGAAAAAGTGTTAAGTGTTAAGGCTATTTACAAATAAAAACATATTTGACTTTTATGATAACAATAACACTGAGTTGTAGTGACAAAATGTTAGTTTAGGTAACTTATAGATTTAGAATTCAAATTGTTGTCCTGACGAAGGTATTTATGATCTATAATTTCAAGTTTTAATATTCATGTTAAATTCCTGCCCGTTTTATGGAAAATGGATTTGTTTATTCATTCACGTAATTAATGAAATTGTAACTCACCTACTGATCTTCAGTGGAAAAGACATAATTGGTGTTGATCCTGACATTTGGCCTATTGATACGACTCTTAAGTAGTAAGATAATTCTTCGAATACAACGGTGATATGTTGATGATATAAGAAATAAATACAATATTGTTATCAACCATTTTTCTGCTCTCGTTATTTTCTTACACCATAACATTGTCATTTATTTGTATTGTTTAGATGCAATTAAAAAATACTGTTTATTTAATGGGAGATTGCAATGTGACAGCGACAACAAACTACATTTTCCCAATATTTGTTAATATCAGTGGAAGTACAAAGAATTTCACCGTCCCGAGTATGACATTTAATGTAATACCGAGTTTCCCAGTATACACTGATGTAAGCTACGATTGATTTAACAACAATTTTAACTTTTTGTTATTACTCAAACATTTTCTTACTTCTATTTGTGTTACACAGTTCCGGTTTAGTTATATTTTACGCAAAATTATTACATAATGTGAAGACAAGTCCACAGATAATTCAATAAAATAGAATCTTAGTTTTGCAAGTCCATTTTAGCGGTAAATAAATCCCCAAAATCTATAACTCTGTAAGTGTTCGACATTGGATGCTGACCACATTAGTTTTAATGGACTCACCTAGCTGAAGGCGCTCGGTCATGCATCCTCACCAGATCACGCGTTGGAACGGCGTGCTCAACGTCTTCTGCGATCACTAGCTAGTTTAGATCAGTCAATTCACGATATATTGATAAGCTATCAAATATATCTTCCAACCTCCTCACTTCTGACTTTTGATTTCACTGGGTGGGCGCGATTCAATTATAAAAGGTATTACTGGTAAAGTGTTGTCAAACTACAATACCTGTGGTATCTTCATTGGTGAGACCGACGTGATATAGTACACCAACCTATAAATTGTGAGTCTGTTCCTTTTTGCAATTTCATAAGTCATTGCTTTATCTTAACCTTTATGTATTGTGGTACTTTTTTTCGAGTTTTCAGATGTATTTTATTTTTTTTCTTCGTTCATTATCATACTTGATTTTTCACTATGACGGAACAGACACCCAAAGTACCTAAGATAAAGGTTGTGTCCCCACCTATGTTTCAATTAATGCTCTTCTGGCCAGACAACATCGACTTCTGGTTCTGCTACGCAGAATCTGATTTCTATTATCACGGAATGACTGATTCACGCAAACAGTTCCTCGCGGTTGTAAAGGCACTACCGTGCGATTCCAACACGTACGTCACACCTGGTATGTTTACTAGTGATGTTTCGGAACCTTATGAAACCCTGATACGGTCGATCCTTAGACGCGGAGATCTAACCGATCGACAAAGGTTAGATCAACTCCTCAATAACATCGGCCTGCAACATGGTTCTGTGACAGACATGTTGCTAAGGATGAGAGAGGTTGTCGGTCTAAGAATTTCCGATAACGGCTTATTCAGATAACTTTTCTTATCTAAACATCTTCAACAGGTACAAGCAGTATTAGTCTCGTTTCAAAACAACGCCGTAGACGAGCTGGCTGCATCTGCTCACCGCATATTCGAAATCACGAAGTCTTCTAATGCCGAGGTTTTTTAGTCAAGGAAAACATCAAACTACACAGAATGACATTACAGAATTATGTCATACACTCACACGCTACCTTGGATTTTGTAATGACCGTAAACGGTCACATACCCCACGAAGAAGCACTTCACGTAGGCGATCTGTTTCCATACTACGAGAGACAGATAACCCTGACTGTTACTGGTATCATAACTAGTATGGAAAGTCTTCCAGAAATTGCAGAAACCCCTGCAATTACCCGAACTCAAAATCGACTGACACGAAAAACAATTCGGGAAACTTCCCAGATGGCTTGTGTTAACGGCAACCATAGCCGGTGAACATGGCCGTGTGTTATACGTCACAGATGTGATCAAGAAAGTTTGCTACCTTATCGATACTAGCGCAAATGTTAGCGTTCTTCCTGCAAATTCTAACGACCAGCTTCACGAATCTGTGTTAAACTTACCAGGCGGCAAACGGAAAGCCAATCACCACATATGGTAAAAGGCATATTTACCATAACGTGGGTCTACGCAAACCCATTCGTTGTGGCAGATTTTTCTATACGAATCATTGGTATAGACCTCCTACAACACCACAATCTACTCATCCGCGCGCGCAAACGTAGGCTCGTAGATGGAAACACTGTTTGTGTAACTTCTTTTTCCGGTCGCAGATTATCTCCAGTCACAATTAGGCACACAATAGACCCATTTTATCAACCATTACTCGATAAGTACTCTGGGATATAACAACCGCGACCGAAACTGACGTGTGTAACCAGCAATGTTACACATCACATCACGACGACAGGACCACCTGTATTTTCGAAAGCACGCCGACTGGCTCCCGAAAAGCTGAGGTTGACCAAAAATGAGTTCGACCGTCAAACACCCCATGAGCACCTCCTTTGCATTGGTCCCTAAAAAGGATATCAATGATTGGCGTTCAACTGGTGATTATCGGCATCTGAATGCTAAACCCGTTCCCGATCGTTACCCGTTGCCCCACATTCACGATTTGACAGCTACCTTAAAAGGTACAATTGTCTTTTCGAAAATCGGCTTGGTTAAAGCTTACAACCAAATACCTTTGGCTACTGACGATATTCCAAAAACCGCTATCATCACTCCCTTCGGGCTCTATGAATTTTCGCGAATGCCTTTCGGTCTAAGGAAAGCTGCCGAGAATTTCCAAAGATTCATAGATGAGGTTTTTCGAGATCTCAACTTCATACACGTGTATGTTGATGACTGCTTGGTAGCAAGCCCGGACAGAGAATCCAATCTCCAGCACCTATACATTGTATTCGAACGCCTGAAAAAGCATGGCATCACCGTAAACATTCAGAAATTCCAAATCGGAACCGACTCCTTAGATTTCCTAGGACACACTATTGAAGCTCAAGGCATCCGACCTCTTAGAGGCAAAGTGGCGGTCATTCTGGATTATCCAGAACCGACCACGATTAAGCAATTTCTCACACTTAACGGTCTTGTAAGTTTTTATGGACGGTTCATACCAAAATGCGCGTCCCTTATGAAACCGCTGGCCGACCAACGTCGTGCAAATGCGAAATCTATTAATCTGGACGACACCGTGAGAAAAGCACTCTCTACAGTTTAGGAACTTGTCGCAAAGGCAACCATGCTGGCACGTCAGGACACTCCAGCGCCCATTAGTATCGCAGTTGACGCATCCGACTCAGCAATCGAAGGAACCTTAGAAAAATGGGTTAATCACTCTTGGCAACCTTTGGCATTTTTCTCCAGACGGTTGCTAGGCACTGATTCGAGGTATAGCACTTTCGGTAGGGAACTCCTAGCTATGTATTGTGTTGTACGGCATTTTTAACACTCTATCAAAGGCCGAGAATTCACCTTTTTCACTAATCATAAACCTCTTACCTTCTCTTTAAGCTCATCCTTAGAAAGGTATTCACCTCGAGAGTCTCGACAAACGGACTACATTTCGCAGATAACTTCAGATATACAACACATTTCTGGAGCAAACAATGTAGTTGCAGAGGCCTTGTCTCGTATAATTTCCTTGAACAGTTTCCAAGGAATCGACCTTCTGAAACTGGCCCAACTTCGAAAAGAAGACACTGATCTTCAGCACGAGTTATCCTCAACAACCCTCAAACTGTGCATTAAGCAGATGGAAACAGGTAAGGAAACCTCACTATGTGACACATTTACAGGTAGGGATCGCCTAGTCGTGCCGAAACATTATCGACGCAACGTCTTCAATACGTTGCACAAATTTCTCATCCAGGTGTGCGTGCATCCATCAATCTTATAGCCGAACGGTTTTGCAGGCCTGGTATGAATAAAGACGTGAGGGAGTGGGCACGCTCCTGTGTAAGCTGCCAGAAATCTAGAGTGATTAGACACAACAAATGTCCTTTAGGCTCGTTCAAAACTTCTGACGCTGGTTTCGACCATGTTCATCTGAATTTGGTAGGACCTGTAGACCATCAGCGTTGATGATCTATTGTCGAATGATTGGAGGCCTACTCGAGTTAGACGGGAACGGTGTGACGAACAAGCTAACTTCGAAGTCACACCACGCGACCAGCACCTTACGTGGATTGCCCCATCGACGTATCAAGGGATCATGGATGCTCTAAGGACTGTACAACACAAAGGACGTTATTACAGGAATATATTATTTAAGGTAGATACAAGCGAAAGTAGAACCACTGCCGCATGGGCCAATCCATGGCGTATGATTAACTGATGCGCGTTGATTGTCCTTGACCTTGACGATGATCTGTTCGATATTGAGTGACGCAACTGCCGGATGATTTGGCTAGGGTTCAGTGACATTTCACTGGCCCTACAGACCTTTACCAGATTCAAATGGACACTCTTATCTTTTAACCTGAGTAGACCGTTTCACTTGATATCCAGAAGCAGTACCTACTAAAGACATTGCTGCTGAAACAGTGGCCCACGCTTTCATCGAACTATGGGTAGCAAGCTTCGGCTTCCCTTCAGCCATTACTACAGATTGCGGACGCCAGTTTGAATCTGAACTTTTCCGTTCTCTGACCACACTATTAGGAATCACTCACTTCCGAACGACCGCCTACCACCCACAAGCAAACGAGTTGATAGAACGCTTTGACCGGCAACTAAAAGCTTCGCTGCAAACGTTTCACAGGGCACCGACGCTCTTCATTTGTCTTACTAGGTAAGCTGACATTGAGTACACTGCAGCTCAACTCGTTTATGGGATGACACTTCGACTTCCAGGAGAATTCATGGATCCTTCATCTTCTTCAATGAACATGCATCTAAACTCCTATACGAGCAGGCTTACAAACGCAATGCGTTCAGTTAAACTTGTTTCCACTCGACCTCGGTCGGCTGATGTTTTCGTTCAACCTGACTTACGATATAGTACACATGTCTTTGTACGTCGAGACTCACACCGACGACTCCTCGAATCAGCATACGAAGGACCCTTCAAAGTTCTTCAGAGCAATCTTAAGTACTATATAGTCGATAAGAACGGCACTAACGATAGCATCAGCATCGATCGAATCAAAGCAGCGTATTTAGAAGGAAATCCTATCTATGTCGATTTTCCTTCGGTACAATCAAACGACACGGCTCCTAGGTTTGTAATACCTCATCCGACAGCCAACATGCATGTTGATACCTCGTCAGTATCTGAATATAGACTTCGAACAACACGTTCAGGAAGAAGAGTAAGATCTCAATAACATTTAAATGGCTATTGCACGTAAGACACCAGTTAACATTTTGCCTTATCTCGATTTTCCTTTGTACTATATATAATAAAAAAAATTTAATATGCTTAAACTTATATATTTCTTCCAAAAACAAAAACAAAGTTTTTGTTTATTGATATGCGTATATTTGATTTTTTTGTGAGAAAAACGAAAAAAAATCGCTTTTACGCTGTCTCAGGTTTATTAGTTTATTTACATTTTTCCGCCCGCTTTGTGTCTTTACGCGCGCAAGAGTTTACTTCGACATGCACTTACATATTCTTCTTTTTCTTTTCCAGGCCGGCTGGAAAAGACGATAAAAATACGATGAAGTTTATGAGTTACCCAAATTTCCATTGTACTTTGTTTCCTTATTACTATATTGTATTTCATGGTCTCTTATTGTAAAGAAAGAGGACCAGACGCTGCTAAACATAGAAAGCTATCAAGAGAGTGTTTACCAACGACAAACACGTTGGATTTAGACTTCTAGCTGGCCACGTCCTAGGGTCATTACTACCTCATTCGGGGGTGAGTGATCTGTAGCGGTAAATAAATCCCCAAAATCTATAACTCTGTAAGTGTTCGACATTGGATGCTGACCACATTAGTTTTAATGGACTCACCTAGCTGAAGGCGCTCGGTCATGCATCCTCACCAGATCACGCGTTGGAACGGCGTGCTCAACGTCTTCTGCGATCACTAGCTAGTTTAGATCAGTCAATTCACGATATATTGATAAGCTATCAAATATATCTTCCAACCTCCTCACTTCTGACTTTTGATTTCACTGGGTGGGCGCGATTCAATTATAAAAGGTATTACTGGTAAAGTGTTGTCAAACTACAATGCCTGTGGTATCTTCACCATTAATGATAACTATATAGTAAGAAGCATTAGTTCAGAGAAGGGTTCTCTTGTCGGCGAATTCATTTTCAAGGCTGTACAATCGCAAACGCATACTTATTCTTTAAAAATGAAAATACTGTTAATATTGTTGTTGAGACCTTTAGTATTCATCATGAAGGTAGATAAAGAAATCATAATTGGAAAGTGAAAGCTCAGAGTGATAAGATAAAATGCTGAAATTGAGATGAACTATAACTAGTAGGATCATAGAAATAGAAGAAATCAAGTATAGAAGTGAAGCAAATGATCTTCAATTAAGGAACGAAGAGAATGTCACGATAGATTAAGGCCATGGTACACATAATTCTGAATTTTCCAAATACACAGCAGATGTTCCTGCAATGCTATGAAGATAGAGTTTAACTACATATGGTAGATTTCTACTTACCTTGTAAATGACTCTGGACGCAGGGTCAGTTTGGATTGAATGACCTGTGTTCACAAGGTGTTCAATTGTTGAGCTTCATATTAAGCCATTCTCGCCTCTTTACAGATAATGTTCCTGAATTCTTATGGGTGAAATACTCGTCGGACGACCCAAATACCTGGCTCCATATGAACAGGTAAAATGATAGACAGAAATGGAATTAGTCAACTGCGACACTTTATCTTAGAGATTGTTACTGAACATAGGTCGATTAAAGAACACTAGTCACAAAGTTGTTGTGAAGAATGATCTACTGAGAGAGTCGGAAATTCTCTTCTTCAGGATTTTTGTAGCTGTACCACCTTTGAAATCGATGTTTACATCGAGAGTTTTCTTTCGTAAGGAGGCTATTTGTGCTTTAGGAGGTTTGAGTTTTATATTCGTATCAATAAATACCGACGGAGATCCGTTTTCTACAATTAGGTGATTCATTTCGTTATATATGACCTCGAGACAAGAAGTTATAAATTTCCATGTTGCGAGGTATATGATTTAATGTCGCTTTCGGCTGATCTGGATCGTGGTGTGAAAGCTTTATAGCTAGCCATTACATGAGGGTCTTGAATAGATAGATCTTCTTAGAGTTTCATCGTGGTTCCTTGTCACTGTCATATCAAGAAAGTAAATACTTTGTTTATTTTCAACTTTTAGTGTGAAATTTATTACTGCGTGGTAGTAATCAAATGTTTGCAGAAGATGATCAATCAAATAGTATTTGTTGTTGCTAAGTCCGATAACGAGCCAGTTAAAAACAATATTGTCCAGTTTTCTGTTTATTATTCATACTCGAAATGAACAGAAAACATGTGTTTATTTCAATCATATTTTACGACCATCTAAGATGGAATTTATACTACATAACAAACAGATGCATAGAATTTGTAAGATCATCCATTAAATAAAACTTATGGATGATAGTTCTATATTAACAGAAATTGATTAAACTATTTGAAGATAAGACAGACCATGAAGTATAGAATAATTATTGTATATCATCTTAATAATAATATAGGAATGAAGTCCATAATAACTGGCAAAATCCTATCAACTGAGTTAAGAAAACATATATTACTTCTCTATTACCCAAAACATAAGCAAAGCAACCAAAAACACTTTTCAACATAAAAATGATAAAGTACTATGAGAGTTCTCGACAAACCATCATTGAGAATGATCAAAAATGCTTTTAAACTATATTAGTTGGTTGAAGGTTAAGGTCAAAAATCCTCAGTGTCAGAAAATAGACTCGGATTATAACTTGCCCTCATTCTTCTTATATACATTGGTAATATTTGAAATTAAATGTCTATGCACAAACCTAGGTTGAGATATTGAACAAACCAGAAAAATCACTTAATACTTCATATTTGTATCTGATATCAGATGCAACGATTGGAAACCTGTGATCAGTGGATTCTGCACTAAAAACGTTCATTCCAAGCTTGTCTACATCTGAGTATATATCTCTACCTCTGAATACGTACATGAATTGTAATTATTTAGGCTTTATACATTCTCGAGATCATCATTTGTCTAATTATACCAGTTTTGCAGTTGCACTACTGTATTTCAACCGAAATGTAGTTAAACACAGTGTTTCTTTAAAACTTCTGTAAAGAACATTAGACAAAGAGTCGTCATTTTGAAAGTGTCTTTTTCACTACAAGCAACATTTGTACCTTAAATAATAGTCAACCAGTTTGTTTGCTTTTCAAATTAAAGCTTAGAATATTTCGTTTTAGATTATGATTGAAGTAAGTCCACCTAATGTAAAGCTGCAGCCTGGTGAAAGAACAACTATCCATATCAAATATACATTCCCATTGAATTCCACCTATCTGAAATCTACAGTACGAATCAATGGAACTGGAAGCAACAGTACTAATGAAAGTATAATAACAATTGCAGATTTTAAAATAAGTTTGGGTTCTAACTTATTTTACACAACAACTGCTTACTCATCTAATTATTCGTCAACTTATCCAACCAATCAAACTGATCAGTTGGTAGTTTACTTCGAAAATATCACTAACATTGGTGAGTTTAATGAGAAATTACAGTTGATCAGTTTATTTCTGACTCTATGAAATATCTTAAGTTACACACTCGTCAATTTGAGCAAGATAATTTCTAGATATGTTCATTCTTAAAAGGTAGTGTATATGCATTTTATTTTGCAATTAAATTATTTTATCACAATATTACTTTAGATGGTAATAAGTTCAGAGCGTAAGAAAGTTCGAACGGCCAAGATAGACACGGAAGAAAAAAGTGATTTTGTTACAGTTAAACAACAACGAGTACAGTAAAACAATCACTGGTACAATTGGTTATAATAATAATTGTTTCCATTATACCAATCGCGCTCTCGTCGAGAAAAGCAGGTCACTACAATTGAATCCCATTTCCATACAATGTTTGTATTGAATTTGTCAAATATAGCAGACACAAATTTAGTTCGATGCAAGATTACCTTAGTGCAATTTATTTTATTCTCGATATTCATGCATATTTGTGATGTTAATGAAATAATTTTTTATCCTAAATAATCAGCTGCTATTCGCTCTGGTCCAATTTGTTCACAATGAATCTCAGAGGAATTTTACACAACGAAAGTCTAAAATTTCAGTAGAATAGAGTATTACTAGTGCAGTGAACGAACTCCATCCTTCCGCGACTGCTATTACAGTTACTCTCTATCTACATTCCCATTCTATTCAATTCGATCTTTTTAACCTTCGACTGACAGCCATTCCACTTCTGATTGGTGTTACATACATAAGTAGCACACACCACACTAGTACAAGATCAAAGTTAGGCAAGAAAATATCTCTAAAAATATAGTTGAAACATATGAATAAGGACTGTGGAATACGTTGAAGTATTTTGGAATAAATTTGACAAAAAACACTAACATTAGCTCACTGTTTCCTTGAAAATCTGATCTTCATTTCCTCCTGTCAGTTTTGGTAGCCTAACTCACAGCAAAAAATAATCTGGCTTTATACATGTTTTAACTAATAAACACCAGATGAGCAGTAAACTGAATGCTGTCTTTTGATTTCTCTCCAATCAGAAAAATGTTAAACATTCATGGATATGGCTCAAATCTTGAGGAATGTTTGTGTGATAAACAGTCATCTCAGCTGAAAATAATCGAGTTACACTACATGGCTCAGCTTTACATTACAGTAACGATGACAGCGAGATAAAATTCTCTCTATGTGTAGACAATGAAAATACTCTATAATGACGATTATTGACGAACAGTAACTAAGATATTTCATGAAAATGCAAACAAACTCATTGCCATTATGTGGACTGAAATGAAATGAACCGATTTATTGTTTGTCACCATTTTCCAATATTTTGTAACGAACTACTTGACTGATTATTTGACAGTATCGTTTTGCATTTTGTTGTTTTCGGTTAGCGCCTAACAAATTTAGTCCTGATATTTAGAACACTAGCTGTTTATTCAAAGTGAATAAATGGTTCATAGTCTTCTTCAATGCATTATCTAATAAAAATTATCGACATTTGCAGGTACGGTAGGTGTACCCATAATGCGAAACACTCTCAGTATTTCAGTGGATATCCAGTTGAGTGATAGTAAAATGGTAGAAAACGGAACTGTTTGGCCGTTGCAAATCACTGGTCAATTCAATGCTGTCACTAATATTAGCAGAATATCTGTAAATTGTGTAAGAACTGGGTCAGAAAAACCATCAATTCAGGTTGTACTATCTCAATTATCATCGTTCACATTCAGTGATTATCCTGATAGGTATGTTTGAATCGTTTTAATCTTCACTATATATTTATATCATGGAATAATTGATTCACTTCTAACGCGAATTCATTTTTCACTTGAATATGAATTTCACATAAAATAATCGTTATATTGATCAGATAGTGTCCAAATGCACATAATAATGTTCCATATCAAGGATTATGCTGATGACTATTCACATGAAGAGTACAAACTTTGGTCTTCAACCAAGAGTTTGAAGAATTTTCAGTTATCCACCAAGCAATAAGATTATCATACCCATATTCAAGTGACCAAATAAATTAGTTTTATTTATTTCTTAAAATAGTTACAAACCTCGTTGCTAATGAGTAACCTTCAATGTTAATAATCTCGGTGTTAAATTTCATTGAAAACATATCTCATAACACCTTAAGACCAGACACACAACTCGTTTAAACATCCATCAGATAAAACACTGTTGAAATATAAAGTTGGTGACCTAAACAGATGTGGCTGTTGTGTTGTAGTACAAATTACTTATTTGAGTTATATATTTCAAATCTACAGGTCAATCAACATCATTGCGTGTCCCATTAGATGACCCTTAACAAATCAGCGCGCAACCGAAGGATTTTAGTTGCTTTTAATAGAATTACAAATATAAGGCATTTACCAAATGAGTTCTGGGGATCTAACATTCCCAACAAAGCATTTTGACCTTTGTTAAATCAATCGATCTGTTGAAGACAATATTTAAGCATGGAAGGTGTTAAAGTTGTTTCCCAAAACTCGCATGAAACCGTCATTGTTTTTTATTCATTACCAATCACCTCGAACCATCTAAGCTCACATTCACTTAAAAGTGAAAAACGGAACAATGAAGAGAGTAGAATTCCGACATTTTTCTCCGTGTTACCTCCAACAGTTACTTAATTCGATTTAATTTCGACAAACTGACCTAATGTTAACATGTTTTCTGATGAACCAACTATATTATGTATTTCCGATGCACAATAAACAATCATCTGGGAAGCATTTAACTGGTGGAACAACCCAGTCGTTTCCATCGATATCAAAAATAATGCTCTTCAAATTTTAAAAATGTTCATTATACTGTTTACAAGATTTCTGACGATATTGAACATTGGATGATTAAGTTATGAATAAAAAAAATCGTATTATTGTGAACAACTTTAAGAATTTCACCCTTTTCGAGCTATACACGTCTACACTGTACTAAAAATGCCTAAATACTGAAATCTAAGTAGATGCAAAGTTATAAATATTCTTGCTATTTCTCTGTTGATAGTAATTGGTTAATCCTATCGAACTAGATTGGAAAGCTTGTAAAACCAAATATCAATTAAATTGATAGATAATCCAATTATTATTTGAATTCAATCATCAGAATTCGAACCATGTTACTGTTATGTAATAACACTCTACATATTTTACATTTTTTATCTGATCTGATACTCAGAGATGTGGTGTACCTTCAGACAGTCGTTCAAATGATGAATGGTACCGGGTTGGAGTGTGAAAGACAATCGATAATTTTCTATCTTAGTCCACAAATAAAATCAATCAATGTAGTTAATCAAACAGGGAACATAGATAATGTAACATTGAAAACTCCTTTAAACCCGGTAACTAAATCAGTTCAGTTCACAGTAAGTTTCTTTGTTTCAAGACAAATTGTGAAAACAATATTATTTAGTTTAACCCACTCAAAATTTAGTTGGAGCATTTAAAAAGGATTGAATTAATTTTCTGATTCCAAATGAAATTCTTATCAACTAGTCTAAAACCGTTTACTTGATCATATTACTTGAAGAATGAATAACTGGTAACATCCAGATGTACACTTTTAGGCTTTCTAGATTTGAATGTTCCATGAGATAATTGTACATAATGATCTAACGGAAACAAGGAGTCTTTTTCAGTCCTATATTTGATATCAAGTAATAGAACAATTGACCAGTTGAACTTGACAAATCGATAATAGAATAGACACGTGTGTGATACACCAGTCAAATGGATCACAGTACCATATCAAGCGCCTCAGAAACTCGATATGCGACAAACGATTGAGAACCAAATATGAACCACACGATATTTCGTTGATGTGTAGTGGTGGAATTGAAATATGATTGGTCGTTCAGCGTGCACAAACAGGCATAGCCCACTGACTATTGAATATGTGGTTTCTTAAAACAACTCATTGTCATTGCATAAACATTAAGAGGATTGAAGGAAAAGAATTTCCTTTCCCACGAAATCATTTACTAATATACTACTATACATTCATATGTATAGTAGTAGAAGTGGTAAATATGTCTATAGGATGGAAAAGATTTGAGATGGTGGAAAAGATTTGTAGCTCAGGTGGACCATTCTGGTGGAGTTTTCTTCTCTGAACTGAATAGTTTGCTGACTATAAAGTGATTCGAGACTCCAAATATCAAATGAGGTTGCGTAATAATCAGGAGTTAGAGAAGAATATTGAGGCGAGAATAATTTACATGTCAAAATCATGCAAGATAATTGTCTGCTTTACTCGGCCTTCCTTCTATCCAGTTCCTTTCATTATGTCGATTATTTTGAAGGAAGACTCCTTTGGAGCGACGTGTCCAGATATTATCAAGTGTTTTTGCATCGAAGTGGTAACTGTTTTGCATCCTCCCTTTAAAAGCCACTCCAAGTTTTGTTCTGAGGTGAATTTAAAAAATGATCGCCTTATGCAGCCAATGTTACCTGCTCCACAGGATCAAGTAGATTTATAGATGCACACTGACATGATCCAAAGCGGAATTTTATCGTTATCATATTTGTGAATGGTAGGCCGGCCTGAAAATACAATACGGAGCTTAGTTGAACAGGTTTTATCCAAAGATTTTGAAATACGTATATTAAAGAGTTCGACAGGCTTATAGCCTTTAAATTCGATATTCATAAAAAGAGTTTTCTTTCGAATTGTCGGTGCTGTTTTTCAGGATGTCTTGGTGTTAACTTCCTATCTACCAATCTAGGTGGATAACCGTTTTTGATGAGTATCTGTCAAAGTTGAAGTAGATCGTCATCTACTTCATCATTAGAACATTCCCCTAGGCCTTGAAGATAAAGAGTGAATCAAGTTTCTCTTTCTACTCAATAGGATCCAGCTATAGAAATTCGTATACCAACCATTCCAAGTCGGTTTTCAATATATAGACTCACTTCGTTCTTGTAGTTGTAACTGGACAACATGTCAGCTAAGTGTACCTAAATCATTGATATCTAGGATTTCAACCATAGATTTTCCAACAATCTTCACCACAATTCTGATGGCTGGTCGAACACCATTTCCACGACAACATGTAACTCCTGAAGACTCTAATCGCCTTACATTCGGACGAGGAATTCTTCCATTTAGTAGCTTTGATCGAGTCTCTTTCGTTACAGAATGCTTAGCATTTCTGTGTTGCAGTAGAAATGTGTCTACTCTCCCAGCCAATTCATCAAATGTAGAAGCAGCAATGGAATTAATAGCAGTTTCTAATGTCCTGACGAAAGTTTCTGCCTGATCATTGAAGCAAATGTGCCTGGGAGCAGTGAACAAATTTCTGCACCTTATACGATTCAATCAGGTAGTGACTGCATTTGCTGCAAAATGAGACTCATTATCAGTCAGTAATACCATTAGGTATCATCCATATATCTCTTGAATGAACGAAATCTCTCAATTATCGATCGAAGTATCGCATTTTCCAGATTAGCCATGAAACAATCAGCCAAGAGGAGAGCTAGTGGTGAACCTATTGAAACTTCATCGGTTTGTCTATAGAAATCATTGTCAAACTTGAATCGCACATTGTGGGTACATCATAGAGATAGCTCTATAGATAATGTGCTAGCATACTAATATCAAAGTTGTTATTTCAATATTGTCACATAAAAACATAGTTTCTGTGAGTGGAACATTTGTAAATAGAGAAGTGACATACAATAAGATCATTTTTCTACCATTTACAATGTTAGTTCTGAGTCGACAAAATCAAACTAATCATGAGAGGTGCATCTGTTGATGTGATTTCTGACTGGTTGTAAAATATCAGCAAATCATTTAGCAAACAAATGATACAGAGAGTTATCCATATCACGTGTAGGACATAGGGATATGTTCTTCTCCAAGAACTTTTCGGAGTTCGCATAGTCCCGGTATAGCAGAACCCGATTATCCACGAAGTTCATAGAGGTTACGAGTGATATTAAACTCATCTTTCATCTCGCTTAGGATTTTAGTTAACATCTGTTCCGTTGTTTCAGTCTCATCTTAGAGAATCTCACAGCACCAGATAATATCCAGAATACTTTGATGACGTCATCCTGAAAACCCATAAGGATTACTCCTGCAACCTAATCTGGGTGACACAGCACTAAATCCTGATTTCACAAAAGATGAAATAATTGACATATATGTTCGTATGCGAGTAATCGTCTAGTTGTAGGAATTGTGTTTCATATTCATTACAACAGTCCACAAGAATTGTTTTAAAATACTCACAATCCTTATTAGATACAGGAGTAAGACCCATTATCTGATGAATGAGGCTTTCAAACTGGGTTTTAACATAGAGCTCATTAACGTTCGTCGACGTACTACAAAATTTAGGCCCGACCGTTGCTGCTACCTTGACGTGGTGGTCGGGCTTGCCTATCGTGATGATCCAATCGAGCTATGCTGGCTGGAACAATCGTTCTTCAAGGTCCTACCATACCAGACAGGTCGGTTGAAGAGCGGTGAGACTAAAAGCAGCAATCCCAAGGTCCGAAGGCGAAGTCGTACTGCTGACTGTACAGAGGTGTGACGGCAGTAAGGTGTTTCCTTCAGACAACCAGCATGACAGCGATGCTGCCTTCCCACAAGGAGGGGTGGGGTTAGAAAAGGTCGACCCTAAAAATGCACACCTCGCCTTATCCCACAGATTTCCGTCTCCGGCGGTAAGGACCTTTGAAGAACGGAGCTAACAATTCAAAATTCCCCCACAAAGAGGCCGTGCGTGACCGGCCTCAAGCAGTTGTCTCTTGGGCACTGCGGTCACGCTCCCAGGTCGTTATGACCAACACTAATCCAACTTCTTTTTCAGGTCCCTCAGGAAATACCCTTCCACGGTGTGGGCAGCCGGGAAGTGATACTAGCCCTCATACCCATAACTGCACACGAGACCAAGTTGGTCATTTTCAAATCCTTCCTACACCTAATAACACTCTTATCTCCACGACTAACCCTTTCCACGTCCTTTTATTACCTCGCACCGCTAGGGCAAACGATTCGACTACACAGAACGTTATTCCTGGTCTCCTGAAACCACGCTCTAAACTACATGTAGGAACTTTTAATGTTCGAACATTGTGCCAAATAGGACAACAGGCTTCCTTAGCTAGGACTCTAGAATCTTACGCCATCGATGTGTGCTGCGTCTCCGAAACGCGCATACAAGATCCGAGTAGTGTCATTCATTTGACCGCACCTAGTCAAAATAAAGTTTCATCTCGATACACGCTTCGTGTATCTGGAAGCCCTGATGCTGCTTCCCGTGGCCTCGCTGGAGTAGGTATAGCATTAAGTCCTAGGGCAGAACTAGCTCTTTTAGACTGGATCCCAGTAGACAGTCGTCTATGCGCTGTCCGACTAAACGGATCAGTAAGGACCCGGAAAGATAGGGAAACTCGTCGTTGCCTCTTCGTCGTCTCTGCCTACTCTCCCACTGACTGCAGCTCAGACGATATAAAAGATGAGTTCTACAGGAAACTTTCTGACCTTCTCCGAAAAGCTAGGCGTTCTGATGTAGTAATAGTAGCAGGTGACTTTAATGCTCAAGTGGGTAAACTAAGTGAAAGGGAAAAACACCTGGGTGGATCTTATGGTGTCATAGCGAAAAGAACAGATAATGGCGACCGTCTGTTGCAGCTATGCTCAGATGACCGCCTATTTCTTGCAAATACTAACTTTAAGCATAAAGAAAAACATCTTTTGACATGGCGACCCCCGAATTCGTCCCAACGTTGGACGCAATTAGATCACATCGCTATCAGCCACCGATGGAGGGGCTCGATAGAAGACTGTCGCTCATTCTGGAACACATGTTTAGATTCAGATCATGCTCTAGTGCGAGCACGTATCTGCCTGCGTCTTACTGGACGTAGGAAAGACACTGCAGGGAAGCCTCTAAGGGTTCTACTTAATGATAGGCAAGCTAAGAATATATTTCAGGAGCAACTAGAAAAACAGTTAGGCAGCCATGTAAGTTATGTCCACCCCGAGGCAGCGTGGAATGACATCCGAAAAGCTGTGGAAACAGCAGTGATATCCGCTAATAAGGTAAACCATAAGGTTAGGGAGAAACAATGGATCTCGGCAGCATCTACCGCACTGATAGATGCTCGAAAACTCATCCCACCTGGCTCTGAACATAACGAAGAGCGGAGTCAGCTTAAGAGAAGGCTAATAAGAAGCCTACGCAATGATCGTGAACAGTGGTGGGTAGCGAAAGCAAGAGATATGGAAAAGGCAGCGGCAATAGGTAACAGTAGGCAGCTATTCAGACTCGTTAAAGAAACCGGTATTATGAACCCGAATATCAGTGAAACCATCTCAGATAAAGATGGGAATATCATTCATTCTCAATCCAGGAGACTGGATCGATGGGCAGAACACTTTAGGGATCAGTTCAACTGGACTTCAGCCACACTTCAATTACCCACGATCCCCAGTCGTCCTGAATGGCAAATTGATGTAAGTCCTCCAACTCTCTGCGAGGTTGAAAAAGCTATAGGAAATCTGAAGCGAGGGAGAGCCGCAGGCCCCGACAGGTTGACCCCTGAGATTTTTAAGGATGGTGGTCCAGTACTAGCAGTGAGATTGACTGAGGTCTTAGGTAGAATCTGGGAACTGGACGTAATTCCATCTGACTGGTCCCAATCACTGATTGTGCCAGTCTATAAGAAAGGACAAAAGTCCTCCTGTGACAATCACAGAGGGATCAGTTTGACTAATATAGTGTCTAAAATATTAGCTTCAATAATACTAAGTCGCCTAACCAAAGCTCGTGAAGAGCAGACCAGAGAAAACCAGGCTGGTTTTCGACCTGCACGTGGTTGCATAGACCAGATATTCACCCTACGTCAGGTCCTAGAACATAGACATACATTCAGATGTCCCACAATAGTAGTATTTCTTGACCTTAAGGCGGCATTTGACTCCGTTGATCGTGAGGTTCTATGGCAGTTTGTCAGTGAAAGGAGTACCAAAGAAGTACATTAACCTCATAAAGGCTCTCTACTCGAACACAACTGGTCAAGTTAGAGCCTATGGCGAACTGTCATCAGAACTGATTACCTCAAGTGGTGTTCGTCAGGGCTGTCCACTCTCGCCTTTCTTGTTTAACTTTGTCATTGACATACTTTTAGAGATAGCACTTTCATCAGCTAAACCTCCAGGAGTTGAACTTTTACCAGGAGGCTCACTTGTTGACTTAGAATACGCCGACGACATAGTTTTACTTGGTGAGGACGCTGACAACATGCAGAATCTTCTGACCACTATAAGCAACTATGCAGGCATGTTCGGAATGCGATTCTCTCCCTCGAAGTGCAAAATGTTACTTCAGGATTGGGTTGCAGCGACACCTGAACTAATGATAGGTAGTGAAGTAGTTGAGCGTGTAGACCACTTCACTTATCTTGGGAGTCTCATCAGCCCTTTTGGTCTGGTATGTGACGAAATCTCAGCACGGATACAGAAGGCTCGTCTAGCTTTCACCAACTTGCGTCATTTATGGCGTAGGTGAGATATCCGTCTAGCAACCAAAGGACGTGTTTACTGTGCAGCAGTTCGCTCCGTCCTACTTTATGGCAGTGAAACATGGCCGATAAGAGTAGAGGATATTCGTAGGCTACTAGTATTTGATCACAGGTGTCTTCGAAACATTGCTCGTATATCCTGGGACCACCGGGTAAGTAATGCAGTTGTTAGGAAACGAGTACTAGGTAAGGATGGCAAATCGATTGATGAAGTAGTGAAACTTCATCAGTTGAGATGGCTGGGACATGTGTTACGTATGCCCAACCATCGACTTCCCCGACGTGCAATGTTTCATGGTGTAGGAGTAGGTTGGAAGAAAGCTAGGGGCGGCCAGACCAAAACGTGGCACAAATCAATGAAGTCACTGACAGGTGGACTGGGCCATGTTGGTAGGTGTAGACTACCTGGTTGGGATTCGCGAGATGACAGCAACCGATGGTTAGAGACCTTGAATGACATGGCTCAAAATCGTTTGCAATGGCGGAGGTGCATCCACTCTTTGTGTTCTACCAAATTCTAATCCTCTGAATTCCTCATGTCCCTATCCTTTTTCTCTTTTCAAATTTATTTCACTGTACTATACTCCTTCAATAATTTCTTCAAACCCTAATCTTTTGGATTTCTGATTATACTCCTACTACTTCTACCACTATGGGATTTGAATCGACAACTGCATCTCTGTGCTAATGTGGTATGGCAACTCGAACTGATGTACGTACGTACGAAGTTCTACGTTGTGACTGACTGACTGACTGACTGACAAAATTTAGGACGAAGTAATAATGCTTGTAACTGAATAGTCGACAATGTTATACACAACTTCATTTGGCATTTAGAATCTCGAATCACTTTATGATTAAATTTTTCTATCCTTCTATGGACATATATTTGCCACATAACTAAAAACACGAATGTATAGTTTAAGTAAACGATTTCGTGGAAAAGAAAATTCCTTTCACTGAATCCTTTTTATATGTGATTTCTTTCCATCTTACTGATTTCTACTCCTGACTCACTGGGTGTGACTGTTTGCAATTGTATTGAATGAGGTATTACCTAGTGTTATTCTGCTTTCCTATTCTGCGTCATGAATCCTGGTTCTTATATAGCGTGACTAGTCTTATTATCGTATGACGTATTGTCGTAGTATACATGAGAGAGAAAAGAATATTTTAAGCAATCCGTTATATCAGCAAAGATGGTTGGTGGCTGGCAGTGGAATCGAGGACGAGTCCCAATTAGGACAAAACGCGTGTCTTGGATTTCACGGCTAGCCACCATCCATCTCTGCTTATAATTCTTGTGACTTAAGCAATATCGAGGCCATTCCCACAGTATGCGCATATGTCAATAAGAGACTGATCAATCGCAGTCCTAAACAACAATGAAAAGATTCAAACGAACAATCCCAAATGCATTGTCCCGTTTAATCATTTAACAATGAAAATTTGATCAGTTAACACAGTGAAATCAGAACAGACGTCTCTTGTAGAACCACTTAAATTAATTATAATCAAACATTTCTACCTGAACTCATTAACCAATTACTACTTGTTTCCACCGGGTATAATACAACGTTTTAGTGATCATTTTGTACTTGATCGACATAATGAATACACTAAGGCTGCAAGTTTCTTTTTCAATGTTCGATAAGTGCACAGTATCCAGCACGTTCAGGTGTGAGTGAGTGCTCTTTACAAGATTCAATCTTCCACTAGTTTTTATCTCAGACTTTTGGAGTTGTCTGAAGCTATCTGCTATGAATATGTTAATGTTGCGCACTACGACATAGCTGATGGTAAACACAAACTCGTCGAAATCTAATGCGTAAAATATCATTTATCATCAAAATCACATTATTTAATCCACGTAGCACACCACTCAGTAAATGAACTAAAAGATGCTAGAAAATGCTGTATACATCATAGTTATTGAACAATAAATACGTAAAGGATAACGTCTATCTATTTGGTCTGTTAACCAAAAATAAAATGATCTAACAAACGTTCAGTCAAATGAATCGGGAAACTTCGATTATTCATAAATGGATTGTAATTTTCGTTCTACAATATCACTGAAGTATTCAAAGGGCATAAATTCTATATGATGTTTGGTTTCAAAAGCTTTTACAAATTTCAGTCACTTCATGATTTGGTTTCATTGTTTAAACACATTGTTATATAACAATAATATTTTTTCTACCACTTTCTGGGTCATAGCCAAACATTTTCGATCCCAAATTTTGATTTTAAAAGTGAAATATCACCCTGCAACACCTTTCTAAAACAAAAGTTCTATCTGTGTAGGTAATACTGGAGACAGACAAAAATCCCCACTTACATGTTTTATATCTGTTTACCAATAATTGCTGCACGTAGTTCCAATTCCAGGAAAATCTATTTAGCCACTGCAGTCACTTCATATTTCAAGTTGCTACTGTGAAATATTTACAGTATTTCTCTCCAAACATCCAAACTCATATAAATTCATCGAAACATTGCTTCATTTACTGAACTGAGAGCACGAAATCGGTCTGATATCAGCATTCATTTTCATTTTCAATGCCAATTAAACTTTTAAAGTTTGTGCAATTCCGTTTACCAAGCACAGAGGAAGGGGGATAAATTACATCAGATTTCTTTAACTACGTTAGTCATCATTTGAAATCATTTCATATTACAAATTGAAACATATAAATTTCAAATATATATCAACTGTTGCTCTGATACAACACTTATGGATATTATTTTTCTCGTTTCAGACAGGACGTTTGTATTTTGGTGCAAAGTATGAAGTCATTTTTAGCCTGAAATTCAATCCATCTCTTAGTACAAGCATTGTGAAATATCCAGTTCTGGCTGAAATTGTGTGCAAACCCTATGAACGTAGTATTCCTGTAGTGAATAGCTGCGCAAAACAAAAGTTTTACAAGTTCAAATCTCCCCTGCGTGTTGAACTTGACTACACTTGTGAGTTTTATCAGTTTGTATTTTTCAAAATTCTTGTTATGACTGACAATAAATCAATATTATCAACCAAGGTATGACTGCATTATGGGAAATACATTTACTCTGTATGTCATATACGTTACCTTAAATGAAAAATGTCTTCCGTATATAAATCGCTTTCTACTTATCATCGTTAAAATTTCCGCTGTCGTGAAAACGATTTCAATCTCTGCATTGCATCCGATTTATCATACTGTCATCAAGTATTTACACATACAAATACAAATTGACAAGTCATCATAATTTACTGAATTTTTCTCATGCTACTGAAATCATAATCGTTCTCAAAATGTGACATGCTTGTTCAATGCTTACTGGAAAATGATGAGTTAGTCCGCATATATTTGGAGGCTTTCGATATTGATGTTTCATTAAATTATACAAAACTACTAGTAATGTACAAACGCAAACAACAGATAAAATGAATAATACTCATCCTCTTGTTGAGAAGTATCAACTAAATATATTTGCACTGTAACGATTCACAGTTCTCATACACTCTCCTATCAAAATGATCTCGAATGTCGTCAATCATAATGATGATGAGTGTTTGTAATTGGTTACTTATCTTCAGTCACATCACATTACTGTGAAAGAATTCTCTATCTTTTTATTGATTTTTGTGATAATTAAAATAATTCTGAATGACTATGCGATGTGTTATTTAATAATATTTTGCCTCATATTAACCTTTTGCATTCAGATCCATACAACTTACCTCATTACGTTGCAATGCAGAACTCTTTTGTACAGTTGCCAGACCGTCAAACAAATACATTTCTCAATGTTGGTGATCTTTTGTTTTATTGTGGACGTGCGATTGGTATAAAAGGTTCATTAGATTTGGTGAGACGTTGTTTCAAGATTAGTAAATTGCCTGAAAGAATTTGGTTTGGTAAGTAATCATAGACAATAATGTTGTGTTACCCCTCGTGTAAGGGCATAGGTCACCCGCCAGCATTTGCCATCCAGCTCTGTTCCGGACAACCCCTTCCAACACTTTCCAGTTTCTTTTCACTCTTTTCATGTCTGCTTCCAATTCTCGATAGAGTGTGTTACCACTGAGCTATCCGGGCTGTGACTGTCCAAATTCACGTATGTCGGGTCCTTCGTGATGCAGATCGAATCCTATCGATCAAGTTGCAAAGTACCTTTTCGATGATGCTTGTAGCAATTATCCACGTTTCATCTCCGTACAATAGAACTAACTGTCTTGAATTACGCATTGAAGATTGTGAATTTGGTGTTGGTTGATATTTGTTTTGAGTTGTATATGTTCTTCAATAGTAGGAATGCTATCCTTGCTTTGCCAATCCTCTCATTTACGTCTGCATCACATCCTCCAAGTTCATCAAAGATGCTTCCAGGTACATGAGAGTTTCCACGCCTTTCAGAGCGTTTTTTGATCAAGTGTGATTGGGTTGGTGTTCTCCGTGTTGCATCTGAGAATATTGTTTTTTCCTTGTGTATGTTGAGGTCTACTGATGCAGAATTCCACATGATATTGAAGATCTTCTCAGGCACACCATAGTGTTGAAGAAGTTTCCATCAAGTCCTCCTACCTACAATATCTCACATTTTGTCACATCTCCTTTCTTTGATAACTGGATGAGTTGTCGTTATTTCCAGTCTGTCAGTGGCACTTGTTCCTCCACCAAAGTCTTCCTGAGGAGAATTTGAAGCATGTTTGCAGTTACTTCTATGTCCGGATATGGTACTTCAGTGCTTCGTCCCAATTCCTTCCATCGTTGTTCGAGTGACATCTATAGGAATATTTGTGTGTACCATTTCGATATCCAGTGGATTCAGTGGAGTTGGCCTATTTAAGAGTTCTTCGAATTTTTCTATCCACGTGTCCTGTTTTTTTGAATCTCGATGATTGACTAGGCTTCTTTGTGCTCTACCGGCCTTGTTTACTATATTTCTCTGTTAGTTTCTTCTTGGTGTCACATAACTATTTCGTATTTCCTTCTCTCACAGCCTTTCCCACTGTCGTTGCCAGGTCTTCTACATATTTCTGTTTGTCAGCACTATTCCTCCTCTCCACTTGTTTCTTTGCTTCAGTGTATTCAGCTTGTGACTTGACTTTCTCTGTTCATGTTCGACTGTTGTTGTTAATTACTGTCTTCTTGTTCTTCCTTTCTTCAATATTGTCCAGCGTTTGTATAGAGATGCATTCATTATGATTATGCTTGTTGTGGTCCACAACCTCCTGACACGTTGAAGTTAGTGCTTCTTCGATCCCTTTCTAGTACTCCACCATCGAAGTTTATTCGTCTTCTTGTAGCGTGTTGTTGACATTTATCTTGAATTGGTTGAAGTTGTTTGTGTCTGGATGGAAGACTGTATTGAATCTTTGTAATGCTGTTTGTCCAGTTGTCCAATGCTTCTTTAGCTGCAGTTTCATCCTCGCAACAAACAGGCAGATGGTGATCCGAAACCATGTCAGCAACTCTCCTGATTCTCATGTCTTCCATTGTCCTTCCGAATTTGTTAGTAATGCAAATATGATTTATCTGGTTCTGTGTAGTGTGGTCCGTTGAGACACGTGTAGCATTGTGTATGCCTTTGTGGCGAAATATTGTGCCACCTATAACCATTTCGTTGAATTCAGATAGATTTGCAAATCTGTCACCATTCTCATCCCTTTCTCCCAGTCCCCAGTCCATGTCGTCCCATGATTTATTCATATCCAGTGCACTTCGCTATGATTGATTTCAGTCTCTTGTTAAACTGATCTTTATCGTCATCATTGCTATCATTGGTGGGTGCGTAACATTGGATGACATTCACTGTGATTTCGTCCTTCCTTGTCTCGAACGATGCTTTGGTGATACTGGATCCGTGAGATTCGCACCCACTAAGTGCATTTTGTGCTTCATTGGACAGCTTCATCGGGACAACTCCCTGAGTGACAGGAGTATCTTCATCTTATTCGTGACTGCAGTTCAACAGAATCTCTCCTGAATCCATGCTTTTCTGTTCAGGTTGGGTCCGATGTGTTTCACTGATTCCGAATACTGTCATGTATCTTCTCACTTCCGTTGCTATTTGACTTGTCCTTCTGGCCTGCTACATTGTCCAGACATTCTGTGTCCCTATATTAATGATTGCTATGTTTGTTAGGAGTGTCATCAGCCACATGACATGCGAAGAATCTCGGTTTTCATCATGAGGCATCATAATTATTGTGAATGAAGATCCTTCAAATCGAAGAGCAGAGTTTGTATAGTAAAATTTGTTTAATCTGGTTGGCGATTATTGGCATGATTGTTTTCCATGGGATGGTGGTGCAGACCCCTTGCCCATCCATTTTCATTTCCCGGGTCTTGTGACCAACAGTAGGCCTAGAAGAGCCACAGGCGGAGTTAGTTTAAAACTAAGGTTATTCAAATGATTCACTAACTAGTATTCATTTCAAAGATATTTCAGCAAATTCCTGATTCACTGAAATTCTCGAAAATTTATACTAGTTGTTAACAATAATTATCAGTCCTCCAGTTTACTCGAGGTGAATACAAATTGGTAATGATTTGTTACTAATTAACATGAAATTCAGTTGCCATATCGTCCTCATTAACATGAGTAATTTCTTCAGAATAATCAACCTTTTGATGTTCAGAGCTTACTACCTTGTAACAGGAGAGTATCCAGTACCACCTCTGTTCGATTATACTTATTGCCCTATTTTTATCACATTCATGATGTGCTAATCAACCTTAGTTAGTTGACACTAGATTAGAAATTAATAGAATAACAATTATCAAAAATGATTATTCATGAATATATTGACTGAATATCTGACTCAGTTTACAAGACATGATGTATAAAATCAAACATTATCATAATGAAGGAGAACAAATGTTTTACATTCAAGTTCAACACCACAAGCTGATTGTGGCTGAATTTGTACTTGGAAACAGCATTTACAATTCATTCTCTTCATATTTTACTATTAATTATACAAGACCACTTGAACTGGCTGGCATAAGAGATTTTGTTGTTCGTCTAGGACAAGCAAAGTATTTTAATAAGTCGTAAATACAAACTTTTAGTATTTTAAACTGTTCATTGAACAGATTCATAAAATACATAGTTACAAACAACTTTGATTTATCGAAAATTTTGTTTAAGCTTATTTTGACAAGATAATGTAAGATACATTTCTACTGATTTCTGTTCGATTTTCAGATGTTGGACCATCTGTTGAACAGATTATAGCATACACAAATCCACTTGGCATATTGTTCGGTTTGGGATCGAATGGAGGAGGTGCAATAATGAGCAAGGATTTGGGAAACACATGGATTTCAGTCAACTCATTCGTGTATCAAAAGACTTTGAATACTTCGACTGAAATCGTCACAGCAAGTGTCATGCCTTGGATTTCATTGAGTGGATCAATTGACAACACACTGTTTGAGTCATTTTGCAAGATGCGAGTGGCTCAACAATGGAATGGTAAGTAATCCATAGTAACCAGATGCTCAATCGTGTTTTCTGTCATCACACATGAAAGTGTGCATCAAAACCTAAGATTATTCAATATTTCTTCAAGTTTTAGAGCCATGTCAATTGCAACCGAACAAATATCTCTTGTGATATGCACTAGATAGCAATAGCAATATGTGTAGCATTTATTTCTAAGACAGTCGGTTTTTCCATTGGTGAATAATCTGTTTTTAAAACGGTTGTTGTTTAATAGTAACTTCATAAATTCCTAATAATCCATAAGGTGACTTTTGTCATTTAATGCTGACATGAAGATGTTAACACTACATTCATATTATTTTGTTAAGATGCACACAGATAAACAACGAAATTTTAATCTGATCTGGGCTATTTCTATTCATTGATTCCACCGTTTGCATGGTTGTAAGACTTTACTCATTGTATACTGTTTTGACTACGTTTCACTATCTAGTATTGTTCAAATAAGAGAGAATATTATTGAAAGTTTTACAGTAGATTGCCAGATTTCTATCACATACATGTTTGGTTGCACTGTGGATACGACACGCATTCATGAACACACTGTAGCATAGTTATGGTCCTATTATTAACATTCAAAATATGTTTATCAAAAACGATACTTGATTTGAAGTTTGAGAAGTGAGTTTATCGGTTGATTGATCACCGTTTAATCTTGTTCGTTTTTATATACATCTCCTTTAGTGTGCATCAACGGAATTTATGCGAATGAACTTCTATTGGCAAACTGGACTAACACCTGTCCAAGCATCAAACCCTTTTAACTGATCCATTACATTCACAGTTGGGATACAATAGTTTATTCAAATATTTGTGCTCTTATAACGTGTTCATTTTATGTTGTGTGCAATAATAGAACATTTAGTTAATTTTCTATTAAATTACTTATCTTGCAAAAAGCCGTTTTTTAAAAATAAAGTACATAATAATCACATTTGCATTATATTATATATTATTATATTTTATATATTATATAGTTTCAAGGTACATATATAAATAAACGACATTATGACATCGATAGGTTGAAAACTATATGGAAGACAGTTTTCAAATTAGTTCTTCATAGATGAAAATAAGTAAATCAAATGGTAGCTGTAGCGTACATAATTTTTCAACTGATGTATGTATAGACAAATGGAAATTAGTTTAAATGACTTGGATTAGTATTTATCAAAGAGCACATCCATTTTAAACGAGTTGTATCATTGCTATATGCCCTCTAACGTGAACAATCCACTAGAAATTTATTCGACCAGACTCTCGTATTTTTTATGGAACACCATTTACCAACGCTCATAAAGAAACAGTCTGCCGAACTAGAGGAAGTTTGAGATCAAAGCCAACGAAGCGTGCTCATCAGTAACAAAACAAGTATATAAACAGTGTATATTCTACACTGGATCTAAGCATAGTAGATAAAAGAAGGTATGTGGAATTAATGGTAAACAGTGTTCATGTTCGATTGCAATTGGATACAGCATCAGATATCACATTGATCTCTTAACAAACATGGAATTTAATTGGTTGTCCTCAAGTATTACCGACTGGGCACACTGCACAGAATACATCAGGAGATATATTAAAGCTTGTTGTAATCATAAAATGTTCTGTTAAATTCCGAGATAACTACTTAACAGGCAATTGTTATTTAACAATCAGGCATGATTTAGACGTTAGCCGTACAGATTGGATAGATAAATTAAATCTATGGGATGTACAATTGAGTGAAATATGCACGATGAAAAGCGCAAATAGTCCTAGAGATCTACCCATAGTTCATGTAACTAAGAAAGCCATTTCAATAAAAGCCCTTTTGCAGAAACATAGAAACTTGTTCCAGAATAAGTTGGGATGCTGCACTATTGGGATGCCAAAGTTATACTTACGACAGGATGTGAAACCTATTTTTGTCCAAAACGTCAAGTTCCATATGCAGCTATTGATAGAGTTGAAAATGAATTAGATCGACTAGAGAAATTCGGTGTTATAAAACTGGTTAATTATTCGGCATGGGCAGCACCAACTATAGTAGTTGAGTAAGCGAACGGAGATATTCACCTTTGCGCAAACCTTTCAACAGGATTAAGTGACGCCCTACAAAATCATTCATACCCACTTCCTTTGCCAGCAGATTTATTTATTAAACTAAACGGCAGACGTTATTTTTCCAAACTTGATTTATCTAAGGCCTACTTACAAGTGGAATTTGACAAAGATTCAAAGGAGTTGTTAACCCAATGCGGACCCTATCAGTTCAACCGATCACCTGTATATGGCGTATATCGTACTAAACAGAAATATACCCGTCATTATCATTACGTGTTTCCAGGCATTCTGTTGCAGGTGCAACATGCATTCGAATATTATGACACGGTGACATTTTACTTTCGTGTTTCAAAACAAGTAAGCTCTACAGAATCAAGAGTCGTTTCTAATGTACCACTGTACCAGTTATTCTATTATCCCACTAAACATATTTACCTTAGTGAGTAGCAACCTGTAGTCTGGTATCCAATTGATTGATGTGTAATAGTTTTTTACATAAGTTTTTCTCGTTACTACAACAAAAGTACGTTACTTATAGTCACTGAAACTGTATCATGTTAAATTTCAAATTGTTCTATTGCACTAAAACAACTAGTTTGAATTATGTTATGCTTTGTTGTTAAAAATACATGACTTACTGTTCACTAGTAAAAGGTCGACGACAATATATAAGATGAACTGAGCTCATCAATTTTCCACTAGATATATTCACTTATCCTAATTATATGTTTCTGTGAATTAAGTTTGCCTGAATTACATTTCTGACATACCAACTACTTATTATTTTACAGAAGTGAATTGAAGCGAAACGAAAGGGAAACGAAATTGTGTGTATATCTGATATAACCAGAAGTGAAGCTGGAAAATGGTGCTTTTTGTAAATTGCGTGTAGTGAACTTGGCTAATTCCCTAAATCACTCAACCACCACAATCTGTTCGTCCATTCAACTTATATATCCACCATTATTATCTAAATGGCTTAACCCTCTTTAAAAAAGGTCAAATGAATTCCCATCACATTTATGCAAGACACAAACAACTGAGAATTCAGTTCTCTTTTATAGAAATACATGTAGTGAGAATAAATGAAATGCAGTGATATCCTCTCTGTCTACAGCGTTGTGGTTACATAATCGCAAACATGAATAAAAGAGTATGTCAATGAATAACCTCCATTCAGTAAAACTACTAAATTTGAAGATTGAAGTGTATCGAAAAATCTCTCCTTCATAAGTTCCCTAAATATACTGGTAGACAAATTCCTACATTTTTACATTATTCTTTTCATACAATACTTTAATACTCATTTGTAGACGAATGTTAAGTTCTAAAAATGTCATCGACCAAACATTATATTGAACCAACGCTAATGCACAGAACGATTTGGAAGGGTGACAAGACCACGTGTACAGATAAAAGATCATTTCATCGAATGGGCAGTTTAAAGGTTCATGTGAAACTGTCACTCCGAATAAGTTCTAGATAAGTGGATGGTGTTACATTATCAGATAATAAACTACTGGTAAATATCTGAAAGAGGCTACAAATCAGCAGGAATAACTCTACTTAATTTGCATGTAATTGTTTTCATTGTATTTTAGGAAGTGAATGCAACTGCCTGGAAATATTGCTGCTACCAAATTGAAAGGAATCATCTGGGTCCAATTCATGTTGATAATCAGGCTCTCATCGATAGATAGGAGATAAAAAATTTGAGTTAAATGAAAGTCCACTTTGCGAAATCTAGGATACAGTAATCTTTTCAAAATATTAACCATTAGATTTATGACTATCTGGAAATCCCATCACGGTAGTGAACTATCGATCGAAAAGCAAAATAGCACATATACTCAATGGTTCCATCGGAATAATAAAATTCCATTTTGTACATTCAACATATCGTTTTTGCCTACTTAGATGACTTCATTCGAGTGTTCTAGAAATCCATTTGAAAATAACTGATATTTTTGATGCATATTCTATGCTGACACTGCTTAACATTTCATAGATGTTCAGTGTTTAATTTTGACTGAAAGTCATAATGGTACAGATTATGTTACGGTTTGACGGACAACCATGGTGAGAATATTTGTATCTACATTTTGATGCCTACTGACTAATTAGTCAGTAGACAAACGACCAACAAGAAAGGAAACAATGAATTGGTTTTTAAAACAATTAGTCCCTTTAATAAATTTCGATAATGCAATGAGAAGACGAAGTTTATCAGAATTATGTGATATATTAGCGCAATACATTTCGAACAATCTGATCACACATATACTTGTTAAGACATTTTTTATATGAAAATTAAAAGGTCAACTAGACAGGTTAAGGTAAGAAAATAAATAAAGTACACAAAAACAATGTGATGACTACTCTGGATAATAAATAAGCATTACCAGGGTAGGTTAAGGGTAAGAACAAATTGTTTTTGAACACATAAAGGGGGTTTCAATTTCCGTATAGCCAAGGCTTCAATAAACCTTAGTATACGTCCTTGAAGGCTTTTGTACAACACTACAAATGCTGATTTGATGTCAACCTTATGACCAGTTTCAACTAAATGTTTCGCAATAGAGGAAGATGTTTGTCTATCCTGTGATCTTATTTGACTATTCGAATTCATTTTGTTCTGTAGCCATTTAGGTATGTGTTCCACCACCCTTATTTGCAAATCACGATTGCTCCTCCCTATGTACGTGTTTCCTATGTACGTGTCTTCTCATTGCATTATCGAAATTTATCAAAGGGACTAATTGTTTTAAATTCTTGAAAAGAAGACTCCCTACACAAATTATAAAAAGGTTAGATGAACTTGTTAACCTTAAGTGCAAAATTATATCGGAACGAGTGAAACTGGAATTTTATAAATCTTGTTTGTCAAATCACATTTTCCCGAATCATTTATGTAAGAATCTTCGTTCAAGTAAATTACAACCAAATATTCCAAATCTTATTCGACTGACAAAATTCTTCATAGACAAATGCCATGATAAGTTGATTAATTTAATTGAACTGCATACTCAAGCATTACCTGTGTTAGCAGAATTGTCTATAGTTTGCCATATCAAATTCATCAATTTTTGTAGTACTGTCACTTTGAAAACGAAAGAAGGGATCAGGAAAAAGCTGGAAAAATCTTTCTGTAACAATAATAATAATCTCACTTCCTTCCCAAATAATCGTGATAAATATGTCACAAATTTATCCTCTATTGTATTGTCCGTTCATGAAAAGGAGGCACTTTCTCTGGGTTTCAACTTTTCTGTCCCTATTACACAAATTTCTGAATTGACAATCAACGCTGAATTTGAAAACCTTTATGATCAATTGAGTACTTTAACCCCCTCATCCTCAGAGAATCAAAGTTGGTTTAAAGCTAAATTAGTGGACATAGCTCATCAATTTCACTCCTCTGGACCGAAGCAGAGAAGCATACTAACTTCTCAGCACTTCAAATCCTTAAAAGAATTGCGAAACAATGCCGATATTATTATACTCAAACCCGATAAAGGATCTGGTGTTGTAATTATGAATAAGTCCGATTACATAGATAAAATGGAATTGATTCTCAGTGATAAGAGCAAATTCATGGCTGATGTTGACTCTGATGGACTACATAAATTAGAAAAGAAAGTAAACTCGAATCTAACAAAATTGTTAAACATGAACGCTATTGACAAAGATGAGTTTCATTTATTAAAACCTATGGGTTCGGTGTATCCTCATTTATATGGATTGCCAAAAATACATAAGCCTAATATCTCTTTACGTCCAATTCTATCAATGTGTCGGTCACCTACACACAAACTAGCGAAATGGCTTACAAAAATATTAAATCCTAT